GGCCCTTACCCTGCGACCTGGCTGGCCCCGGGGCCTTTTCCGCCTGGGCAAGGCCCTGATGGGACTGCAGGTAAGGGGTCCGAGATTGGAAGCACAGGTGGAATTTGAGTTGCATGAGGCAGGGATTGGGTCTATACTGACATTTTCTAGTAAAGCTCCTAGTACCACAGTGTCACGGTGTCAGTGGTACTAGGAGCTTAGGCCAGTTTGAGGAAGGGGGCAGTTTTAATTTCCTTTACCCCCTTGATACTTAAACTTTCCTCTTTCTAATCCCTCTGGGACTAAAGCGTTTTGAGGAGGCAGCTGCTGTGTTCCAGGAGACTCTGAGAGGTGGCTCCCAGCCTGATGCAGCCCGGGAGCTCCACTTTTGCCTTGTGCACCTCGCTCTGGTAAGAGAACCAGGCCCACTGGCGTGCTGAGAGGGGCCAGCAGGAGAACTGGCTGGGATTTGCACAGCGAGCGCCGCTCCCTTCTGCCTCCGGCAGGCAGTGGGAGCAGGAATGGGTGGGATGGGGGCTTGGGCTGTGCTGCTAAAAAGGAGTAATAGGTGCTTCTCTCTCTCCTTTCTCAGCAAGATCAGAGAGGAGGAATCCGGGAGCCACATCTGTCAACTGGGTTCCCTCAGCCATTTTCCCAATCTGGGCCGGGCCCCTCAAGCCTCCTGTCTGTCACTCGCCCTCCAAGCACTGCTCCAAGAGCCGCTGGCCTTCTGTCTCCACCCCTGCATCATCCCCCTTGTCTCCTGCGCCACTCCAACTCACCCCTCCCCCCGACTCAGAGCAGAAGACCCCACCCTCTCCATCTCCTGGGCACCTCAAACGGCCCTGGTATCCTGGGACTTCGGCCCCAGCATCTACCTCAGGCCAGATGATGGAAGACCTGTCCCTCACAGGACAGGCCATGTGTGCATCCCCCACTTCCTTGCATATCTTGAGACTTTGTAGTCTAAAGCCATAATTAAAGAAACCCCTGGTGGCCATTCCTCTTGCCACAGAGACCTGATGACAGAAAGGAGCTCCATGTCCACTTTGATTCTGAAGCAGATGGCTTCTTCTGGGGGCAGGAAAGAAAAATAAAATCCACCAAGGCTATGGAGGGAACTGTACAGAAGTTCGGGTTTTCAGACTATAACAGACCCAGAAAGGAGCATATAGGGCTTGCTCTCTTTTTTGGCTCTGGGGGACTCATTCACCAGCAGAACTCTATGCTCAGGAACGGGTTCAGGTGATGAATGAGGCCTGAGTCTCCCCCTTCATCTTGATAGATGCTCACATCTTCCTGAGCCCAGCTCTCACCTTGTTTCTTCTAGTCCCAGCCCCTCCTGCCTTGTTTCCTGTCATTTGGTGCACATTCTGACTTCTCCTTTGCCCAGTGGTCTCACCTCCTCCAACTGCTAGAAGAGTCATCGGGGTTGACATTTGGGAAGTCCCTTACCAGCATCTGCCTGGAGGTGGCAGGGTTCGCGCATCTCCACGTTGCCCCCCTGCTGGCTCTCCGGCTGATGGGACCTCAGCAGGCGCCCAGGGTGCTGCTCCCGTGGCTGTCCTCTTTCCCTGCTCCAGCACTGGGTGTTGTAATGAGCATTTCCCCACGTCAGTTCACTCAGTATTTCCACCAAGGGTCACTGCCCTCAAAGAAGGCTGTCGTTCCCTACTTGCCGTGCGAGAATCATGATCTTGTGGTTTCTCCTCTAAGATCCTGGCAGCTGTGCCTGGCTGCTTCCTCCCTAGCCCTGCCTGGGACTCTCAGCTCACTGAAATGTGGATCTGCAGGGGACTCTTGGTCTCCCAGAATGCCTTGCCCAGAGGAACCATTCATCAGGACAAATGATTCTTGCCACCCTATGGTCTTGCTCAACACCATTCACACCTGTATAGGAGATGTTGAAAAACCTCCTTTATATAGGGCTTTCCCAAATCCTTTTTGTTTACGGAGTAGGCTCCTTAAATACCATATAGCAGAATGAAGTCTGCCATCACAAGTTGGGTCACCTTGGGCAGGTCTCTCAACATCTGTGCCTCAGGTCCCTCATCCGTAAAATGGGAGTAATCCCTACCTCACAGGGCTGTTGTGAGGACTGAAAGTCAAAGTGTGAGAAAATACCAAGTGCCTCGTACATAAAGTGTGCTAAATAAACTGATTTTTATCTGCAACAGTCCTACATATTCATGATTCCCCCACAGTGGAAAGAAGTGAGTATGAGTGAATTGTTGCTTATGTCACAAGATACAGAGTTCTGGGGCTGTGGTTCTCCAAGTGTAGTCCCTCGACCAGCAGCAGCCTGGGAATTTGCTGCAAATACACATTCTCAGGCCCCACCCTCGACCTTCTAAATCAGAAAGTACAACAGTGGGGCCCTGCAATTTGCGTTTCATTTAAGCCCTCCGGGTGATCCTAATGCCCGCCCACTTGTTCTAGGACCTGGCAGAGGATACACTATCTAGAGGCCATTTTGGTGGGAGAGGCTTGAGTTTTGTTCATCCAAGTTTTGATTATGGGAGGTAGAAGCACCGGACAGGAATTTAGGAGGCCTCAAGTGGAGGGAGATTATGGCTCAGAGCCAATTAACTGGACTAAATTGTACCTTCTTAACAAGAATTATTTGCTCTGGAAGTTCTTTGCTCATGCTTAGTTGGGGAGAGGTGGTTGTGCTTGTTTGAGGGGTGATTATATTATGATGATTCCATAAGAGTCCTGTTCATGTGGTCTTCTTGTTCTAAGCAGCAGGGAGGTACTTCTCTAGGGTTCCTCAAAGAATGGGCACCCACCCGTGTGGTATCTTTGCTTTGAAGCTGAGCTGGCTCCTTGCTTTTCAAGCCTCTCGAAGAACTCTCCCCTCCCCCGTATCCCTTGACTTGTCCTGGACTATCTCTGAGTGCTGGACTATCTCTGAGTCCTGGACTATCTCTGAGTCCTGGACTATCTCTGAGTCCTGGCCTATCTCTGAGAGCCACAGGACTCCTGACACCTTGTCCCCATTTTGCCCCACACTCACACTGCTAACTGGTTGGGTTCCAACCCAGCAGCCGGAGTTCTGAGTCCCTAGGGTTGGAAAGCCCGGTGACCAACCTGGGACCGAGGGATTTCCTGGAGTGTGGGACTTTGCGTGCTGAAGGTGGGAAAGTCCTGGGCAAACAGGAATGAGTCACTCTAAAGGTTCCAGAGAGGCAGCCTTAGGAAGGAGATGAAAGGAATAAGGAGGGGCCCTGAACCAGAACCAGGGTGTGTGTGGGTGTGTGTTGTCTATGTGTATTGAAAGGGCAACACAGGTGCAAGAATACTTTTTGTACATAATGGCGGACAAATTCTTAGCTCTACACCAGTAGTCATTATTTCTGCCCATGATGCTATTTTTATTCCAGTTGCCCAGGTTTGTGAGGTTTTCACTGATGGAAGTAATCTTTGGTCACTGGGATAATCACACAGATTCCTCTTTCGTTAGAGCCTCCCCCACTCCCCAAGTCTGGCCCTGAATTCCCTCGGCTCTGACCTTTTGCAGTGGCCAGAGATAACACTCCTTCCTCAGGCCCCTGCCAGTTCCCAGTCTACCTACACTTGCAGCCAGATGAGCCTAGCCTGCTCAAACACTGCTGTCATGCCTTTCCTCTCTCAAACCTCCGTGGACCATGCTCTATCTACAGTACAATGCCTAAATTCCTACCTTTGGCCCTTTCTCCTCTGCTTTCTTCGTAAACCGTTTTCTTCTTTCGGTTAGGTCCAGTCACAGTTACAGGGACAGAACCTGTAGTGGCCGAAAGCATGAGCCCCTGAGTCAGACAAGAAGCAGGTTAGTGCCAGCCCCACCACTTACAAGCTTCAGGACATGACCAACACTTCCTGGGCTGTGATTCAGTCCCTTTACACTTAAAATGAAATTAAAATCTCATTATCTCCTGGGATTACTGTGAAGATTAATCCATGCAAATCACTTGAATTGTGCTCAATAAGGGGTAGCTATTGTCTAACAGCACAAGGTTCCCTTCTGCCTTCCAGCCTTGTTCACTCTCCCTGAAGAGTCTCTCCTGGGACCTCCACCTGCAACTGAGGCCCTAGCTGACTCCCCTTGAATCCTGGGTCACTCTAAAAGCATTCTTGAGAATGAGATTGTGGCATCCGGGCAGAAGCATGGAAAGGTCTGACGGAGGGGAGGAAGTACTGACACGGAGAGAGGGCAACAGGAAAGAGCCTAAGCATGGTCTTCTGAAGATCAGCAGGGATGGCCCTGTATAGTGGTAGGCCTCTTCCCTCCCCATCACACTGCCAGAGGGCGATTAATTACCCGCAGAATAAATTAGTCTCAGAAATGTCCACGGGTGGAGGTAGGCTGTTGACTCCACCCACAAGGCCCCAAGCTGCTATCCAAGCTCCGCCTCAGCCAGCCTCCCCATCTTCCTGCCAAGGCCACCATCCTGGTGGGGACATTTCCTGCCCAAGTGCGGGGGCAGAGGTCCCGGAAGTAGGGCTGTGCCACTTCTCCCTCGGGGCTTCACTTAGCGGGTGTCTCATACAGGGTTCTTTCTGCGGAGGTAGGAGAAGGGTCAGGACCCCATTAACAAGTAACCTCAGAGTGGGGAAAGGGTAGAATCAGGCAGGTCATTGTCACTCTCGGGCCACCTAGAGGTTAGGAGCAAGGTCTGGGGGTGGGGTGGGGTGGGGATCAAAGGCCTGGGTGGAGTCCTGCAACCAAAGACAGTCAGTAGGGGTGGGTGGCCCACAGCTACCAGAGTCCCATCTCCTACCCCTCAGCTTGAAGTTTCCAGAGCACGGTCTGGGCTGACAAACACTGGCTTTGAAGTCTGGCAGGATGCGTAGGTGCAAATCCCGACCTAGTGGTTCTGCCTTTGTGAAATGGGCATAATTATATCACCTACCTTATAGAGTTGCTATGAGGGTTAAAGGAGACACCCCGTTTAAAGCGCTCAGCCAAACGCGCAATCTGCACAACAATCGGAGATTTTGCTCTTACCGCTCCGGGATGGAGGCCTCATGCGACTCATGGCGACTGAGTCTCAATTTTATTCTCAACAATTGGGAAAAGCGAGCGTCTGGACTGTGAACCGGAGGAGGCCGGATCCACACCCTCCCTCCACCCCGGAACCCGGACGGGGCGCGGCGCACGGAGGTGAGGAGTCCGGGGCCCCAGAGCCCGGAGCTGGCGGCGGCTTTGCCTTCAGTCGTCCACCTGAATCTCCTCTTCTGACAGGTGGGGCCCGGAGTCAGGCGGGCCGGGGCCGGGGCCTGGGGCGCTATCCGGCAGCTCGAGGCGGCACTGGACTTCGGGGGCCAGCGCACTCAGCGAGGCCACGTCGGCGCGCATCTCCTCCACGTCGCGCTTGAGCTTGGCGCGCCGGTTCTGGAACCACGTGACAACCTGTGCGTTGGCCAAACCGAGCCTCGCCGCCAGCCCGTCACGCTCCGAAGGCGCCAGGTACTTCTGGAAGACGAAGCGTCGCTCCAGCTCCACCACCTGCTGCGCTGTGAACGCCGTGCGTGACTTTCGGCGTCTGCGGCCGGCGGGGCCAGGGCCCAGCGCACCCTGGGCGGCGCGGCCTGCGGGGATAGGGCGGGGGTCAGTCTCTAGCCTGAGGGAAGGAGACGCTGGGGCCGGGCGCGGGGCGGGGGCGGGGAGCTCAAGCCGGGGTCGGGGAGGCGGAGGTGGGAAAAGGCAGACGGGAGCCAGAACCGTGGTCAGTTACCCAACCGGGGTTCAGGCCGAGATGGGAGTCGGGGGCATAAAGTGGAACGGGCCACTTGGGTATGGGAGGCAACAGGCTTGAGGGCATCCTGCGGAGGTGAGGGAGTGGGAGGAGGGCGGGACGGGCCAGAGAAAACCCGGCGCAGACGCAGGCCATCTGGGGCGGGACCTTTGAGGCCTTTCGGGAGCCCCACGATAATCGGGCTTGTAGATTGGGGCCGGCACCCGAGGTGGGGCCCGACCATGGTCAAAACAGGGGCAGCTAGCCCGGCATGAGGAGTGTTAGGAGGACCCGGATCGTGGCCTTCTGAAGACTCACGGGTCATGATGGGCACTCTCGGTTTACACTTCTTTTAATGACACGGCGCCTCCTCCTCGAGCCCAAAAGGTAGGTATGGGGGATCAAAGCGTAAGGAGAGGCGAAGTCCGTAGTCCCCCGACCCTTGCCGCCCCGAGGACCTTCTGTTCCTGTGCCCTCCCCAGAAGAGAACGGCGTGGAGCCGAGCGAGGTCACCCGGAGAGGCCCGAGCCTCGCTTCCCAGCACTTTCGGCACCGCCCTTGCCCGAGCTCACTCGTTTACAGCCTCCGGCTCAGGCCTTTTGTCTCCTTCTCACCCGTCTCTCTCTGTCGCGATTGCCCCGCCTACAGCGCACGGACCCGCGGGTCACTCAGTTCTCGACAGACCGGCCCTTCCCCTCGGCGCTGGCGGCCTCCAGGAGCGGCCGCGGAGCCTGGGAACTAACGGAGGGGAGGTGAGGAGCGGGAGATGCAAGTCCCAGCACGTGGGCTGAGGGCAGGGGGCAGATTAGGGTGGGGGCCAGGGTGAACGAAGGTTCGAGACCCGGACCTGGAGGAGAGAGGTGGGGAGAAGACCGAGTCAAAGTGCGCGACCTCGCGGGCGCTATACCTTCAGAGGACTCCGGAGCGTGCCCGTCAAGTCCGCGGAAAGTTTTACTGGTCAGCTCCTCCAGCGCGCACAGAGGCGACGTGGGACCAGGGCTCGACTCTGGAAGCGGAGACGTAGAAGGTCCGCGGGGAACCATGCGCGGGCCTAGGATGTCTGTGATGCTGAAGAGTGTCCGGGGTGTCCGGGGCTCGGGTCCCGAGTTCATGGCCGGTCGGGCTGTGGCGGTCCCGCCGCCGGCTGCGATCCGCTCCGCAGCTGCCTGGGCCCCGGCGCGCGGCTCCCGATCTGGGCCCCCCGCCTCGGACCCGCCCCCCGCGCCGGGCCCGAGCCCCGTGTGCCCCTCCTCCTGCGCCCCCAACCCCCAACTCGGGGCCGCAGTGGGTCTGGAGCTGGTAGATGTCCCGGCAGCGGTATTTCTACAGGGTGGGGAGGCTCGGAGAGAAGCCCCGGAACAACCTGCCGTACCGTGCCGCCGAGCTGCTCCGCGCTGCGGGGCGCGGCCCGGTGCACATTCAGGCTGGACCCTTCCTGGACGGCCCCCAGATTCTGTGTGCCACCGACTCCCCGCCAAGCCGTGGCTCTGGCTCATAAACTAGTCGGCAATAAGATTGCCTTCCCCGACCCCGGCGGATGGGGATTTGCAAAATTCCGAGAAGGGAGATCAGAGCTGACTGTTCTAGGATCTCCGATCTCTTCTAGAAGAACCTCAGTCTCCTGACCTAGCCCCCTCGCCCCCGCCCCACCCCTGCCGAATGCTCTTAAAGAGGTCCTGGCGGCTGGAAGTTATTAGTGCGGCGCGAGGGGGCTGGGGGAACTCGAGACTGGCAGGACCTGGCCTGGCAGAGCGTTTGCAGCCAGGATGCGATGTGGAAGCAAAGGCAGGTGAGTGGACTCCTTCGGCTCTCTGGACCCAAGCCGTTCCACCACGGCTCAGAGGCCTTGCGAAAGTCAAAACGCACGGAGAAGTGGAGGAGACCTGGGCCTCGGAAGAGAAGACACAGCAAATGCGGAGCAAGCGCTACTGCCTGGGCTGGGTCTTTCCCAGGCAAGACTGGCCTCCACAAGACCCGGCAGTCCATCTGTCTTCACCTCCTTACTAAGCTCCTGTAGTTCAAATAGGGGTTCCCCAACCTGGAGAGCCAGAAACCACCGTGTAGGAGCAGCAATGGGAAGGGCTACTGGTCACTCTCCGTAGAGAAGTGATTTGAAGGCCAGACTTCATGGATCCAACCAAATCCTGGGACAGAAACCCCTGCCAACTCAGGGACAAACTCTGAGCTCTGGGATATTCATTCCCAGAAGCAGCAGACTCCCTGCTGAGCAGGGAGCCAGACCTGGGGCTCAATCCCAGGACTCCGGGATCAGGACCTGAGCCCAAGGCAGGCACTTAACCGCTTAACCAACTAGCCACCCAGGCGCCCCAGGGATACTCATTCCTATTTGATTTGTGTCTTTCTTTTCTCCCACACCTATTCTAGTCCCGAGTTCAAACCTGGGTGAGCACTCTACAGCTCTCCTTTGTAGGAAGCAGGCAGCTCTGGGAGAACGCTGCTTCACCAGTGGAGGCCCAACAAGGCAAGGGTTTTGTTCACATAAACACCCCCAAATAGCTAGGGGATTCACAGCCCAGAGGCAGAGAAGCCCCGCCACTCCTGAGGAGCTCACCATTCCTAAGGAACTTGCCTCCACAGGATTCTTCTAGTTTTTTCCAGCAGTGCCAAGAAGAAGTCCCTCCTGGACTGTCCATTATGTCACCTCTGTAGACCTCTGCACCTCCCATCACTTGTGCAGTGATCCTCTGTGCCTATTCCCTGGGGCAAGTGGAGCCTGCAGTTGAGGTGCCCTAAACAGAGCCTGGGAGATCTAAGGCACCTGGGCCAAAGACTCTTTAACAAGGACTAGAAGGCACTTTGATAGTGGGGGTGAAGGAAACTCACATAGCCTGAGGCACTGGCCTGGCCCACCAAAGATGGAGAAACACAGGGTTTTCTTGGTAAGACCCCTCCCCTCCCCCAGACACACTCAGACACTTGCACAGTACCCTCATAGCAGCCTGAGCAATACACTCAGTCCAGTGGGCTACTGCTGGGGCAGAGAGCAGAGCCAGGCCACAGCAGAAAGCTGAGATGCCTCAGGACCCTGCTAGTTGGTTATTAATGGTGGGAGGTGGAGGGAGGGCAAGAGAGACCCTTCTGGCTGGAGGCCTCAGCCCTCTGAACCATCCCACGGTTTCACTTAATCTGCATTTAAAGAGGGTTCCAGGAGGCTGCTGCAACAGCCTAGCTCTCGTGCTGGGCCTGTCACCAAACAGACACTCAGGCGTCCTCTACGTAGCTTTTAGGTCATCTCTTCCTCTGCTCTCAATTACTAGTGTGTTTGTGGGGAGCACCTTCTCTCCTGAAGGGCCTTTGCCTTCTTCCCCATCCATCTCTCCTGCCTATCTTCCCCCAGCAACCAGGCTCAAGTAATGTGGTTGCACAAAAGAGTTGGGCGATCCCCATTTGGGGGACAAAAGGGAAGGAGAGACTAGTAAAGGTAGGAGACCACTGACATCAGAGCCTGTTAAAGTCAGCCCCGAGGCCAGGGACGTGTCCAGACGATGGTGGGGCCACAGGAGGGGACTTCTCCCAGCAAAACCTCTGGAACCTGAGCTGGGAAGAAACCAGATCCGCTGATGGGGGTAGGAGGAAGGTGAATGATTAATGAGGGAGATTAAGAGATGAAACCTGGGTTCTGGGCTGGGGGTGGGGAGGGGGTTGTGGCGCTCAGCTGTCTTGTAGGCTTCCCCCACCCATACCTCCCACCCCAAGGTCCAACCCTTCCTGTCCTGGGCCTCTTTCACAGAGTGATTCATAGTTACGCACCTTCCCCTGCCCTCCGCCCCCCCCCTTCCCCCGCTGGTGGACGGTTTTCCTCTCTCAGCATTCTCAAGCAACCCCTCGTGGTCTCCCACCTCCTCGGATTCCCATCATTGTCCTTTCAGACATTTGGGGGTCCTCTGTTCCTCCCCGTTGTAGAAATCCCCACATTCCAACTTTCATTCCCTCAGGAAGGTGCCTCTATTCCTATTGAAGGATGCTTTCTCACACCTCTGTTCATCACCCACTTTCAGATTTCCCTTTCCTTGCGGCCCCCCACCTTCTCCCTCATTCCCTGACACTGCACCTCTCAACCACCTTGCCCACCTCAGCCTCCCATCTGGCGGGCTCCCTGATCCAGGCCCACACCAGATTGATGCCCCTCTTCTTGGCACTGAGATCTGCTCAATAAACAACCTTTAGCCTCCAAATTTCCCTCCCCGTGCATCCCTTTGAATTCTGTGAATGTAAAGGGGCAACTGGGGATCCTCTGAATAACCACCTCAGGAAGGCGGACAGACACGGCTAGCCATAGAGAGGAGCTTGGCCGCCCCTCCCGACCCTTAGGGAAGTCCGTTAGCCAGAGAGAAGGAAGTAGGAGTTAAGGGAGGAAACCCCAGGCAGCTGGGCGTGGGGCGGGGGCGGGGCGGCTGTCCATCTCGCACACTTCCGAGGTTGTTTTCTCTTTCAGAAAACGTTGCTGCGGAATCGACTCAGACACTTAACATTTTAGTTTCGTTTCTTCTAGGGCCTCGCTCAGTCCGTGATCCCGTGGCAGCCCTTTATGCTGGCTCACAAAAAGCTCGGTGGTTGTGTGCACCGGGGGAGTGGTGGGATACTCAGACCCCCATCCTCGACTCACACACACACACACACACACACCGCCGCCCCCCCCCAGACCCACTGCTCCACTACCAGTGAAGTCCCTTTTCCCTCCTTTTCTGCCCACCCCTGGCACTGAGAAACTGGCCAGGCTGAGAGGGACCGGTTCTCCCCTGTGCCAAAGGTGGGGGCAATCTCGGTGCCCCCTCCCCCCAGGTGAGTGTGGCCCACTGAAACGGCTAGATGAGAAAGGGCGACAGGGGCAAGGGCCAGCTTGACCCTGCGGGTGAGGACTGACGCCTCCACCCAGAAGCGCCGCGAGGTCAAGGGCGCCGCCCAGAGAGGGCCCGCTGTGCGCCCGTCCGCGGCCACCTCTTTGAACGCGACCAGCGCATTCTGGGTCACACAGCTCAAGAGAACCCTGGGCTTGATTCTCCCCGTGGCGCAGATCGTAACCAGAGTGACCCTGGGGGACTGGGTCTTCCCGGCAAAAGTCAGGCAAGGGGGCAATGGACCCATTGAGAGAGGAAGAGCAGAGCTCAGCCCTCAGCCCGCAGCTGGCCTGCATCAGCCACCTTGGGAGACACACCGCAGCTGCCTCTGCCAGGGCCGCTGACGGACAAAAAGAAGGTTCTGCGGAACTGGGGGCGAGGGGAGGTGGCCCGCTGCACCCCAGGTCCCCGCCTGAGCTCCTTCCGCTGCTCCTTGGCCTCAAGCCATGCACCATTAAAAGCCTCATCCTGAGGCCTGGTCCCCAGTCAGCCTTATCTTCTGACTGGGCCTTCTTGATGCCAAGCTGCTGCCAAGCCCCAGACTGCTGACCAATTCCTGCAGCTGCTGGGGACCCAAAAAATCCTCAGGAGCATTTCTACTCTTTCCCCCTCAGCCCACACCTCTCCCTCGGGGGGTCATTCCTTAAAAATGCCCTTTCACCCACAAACCCCTTGAGAACAGCCTCAGTGTGGCATGCTTGAGTGGGCTGTGGAGTCCCAGAAGACATGGGGGGAGCCCAATTAATATAGATGTAATTCATCCCAAACCTCAAGATATATGCTGGTGTGGAGGCAGGCACAAAGGGGTGGAAAAAGCCTGGGTTCTGGCAGAGAGAGGGTCTCCTGGAGGAAGTGATACTTGGGCCTTGAAAGAACAGCTGAGTATGGGGTGAGGGAGAGGCATTCCAGGCATGAGGCCGGAAACATGGGGCGCTTTGGGAATCATGGAGATTCTGTCAGGCTGATTGTTCCGCTATGTCCCCACCCTGGTCCTCATTGTCCGCCCATCACACCCGAGGGCTCTTCCTGGCTTTCTGCAGTCTCTCCACACTGTGCTTTTCTCATGGCCTACAAGCTTCATCTGTGTGGACGGACGGCCAGGTCTACTGTGCACTGGCCACTATGCTCAGGCCCCTCACACTGTGCCCACCTCCACCCCCGGCCGCCCCAGTCTCAGGCTCTCTTAGCCAGTTCACACCATTTTCACTGTACTCCTCCCCTAGGTCTTCTGCCACCCAGTCTCTATCCCTGGAAGCTTCAGGCCTTCAGCCCTCACCAGCAATGCACAATGACCCCTCTGAATTCACTGGAGTCAGACTTAGGCCCGTTGAAGACTTGGGCTTTAAGCTTGAGTTCTGGCAACGTTTCTGCCGCCTGCTCCGACCCACTCGTCCCAGGTTCAGCCACAGCCCATTAGCTCCCTTCAGGACCTCGCTGCTTCCTCCTCCATCTGTCATTGTCCCAGTCAGGCAAGTTTCTGACTATCCTACTGAGAGGCCACAGAACAGGGAGCCTGGCTGAGTGTACTTTCAGAGCCCAAGGGTCATGGCTGGGCTCATACAGACAAGGAATGTTCACTGAATTAATCAAGGGAATGAACAGCCTTGCTGCTTCCCTCTTACCTGAAGCTGCCTTTGCTCTCCTGGACACCAGGTCCCTCTCCTCACCCTGGCTTCACCTAATCCAGGGACGTGAAGGCCTACTGAATCTTGTATGGACAACCATGTCTCCAACTCAACACCCTTGTGTTCCCTGTGTCTTAACCGCCCGTGTTTTTTTGTTTTTTTAAGATTCCTCCTATAGAGCAATTCTCTGGAACTTTCTTTAAAATATCACTCTTCTTCAGTCCTGCAGTGGCCACTGTCTAACCCTAGCCCTACCCCCACTGCTCCTGAATTAGGACACCTCCACTGAAGCCTGCAGCATATGCTACAACATTCAAGTATAGTGAGAACTCCCCTCCAGAAAGCCTTCCCTTCACCAAAAAAAAAAAAAAGAAAAAAAAAAGAAAAGAAAGAAAGAAAGAAAAAAGAAAAAGCTGGTATGGGTAACCTGGTTCCACTTAGCTCACCTTCTGAGTTTTATATGTGTAGGGTCCTCTACCCCTCTCCTCTGGCAATTCACTGAGGGACCACGGACATAGAGAGGCCCTCCTTCATGATGAAACTCAGAGGATTTCTGAGGGAAGCAGAACACAGAACAAAGCATGAGTATGTGGAAAGAAAAAAGGAAGAAAACAGATGCTTTTTAAAAGTTTTTATTTCAAAAAATAAAGCCGCAGTTAATTTCACATAAATATCTGGGGAGGGAAGGGGACAGGGATGTGGCGGGGGCTTGGCCCCTACCTCCTCTTCTCTTTCACACTGTATTGTAAAAGCAAAGGGGACGGCTAAGGAGAGAACAAGGAGAAGAAGCAGTCAGTGGGCGCATTCTTACCCCAAATGCCCCCCCCAGCCCATGGCTGCCCTGGGGACTGCCTTGGCTCTGGCTTACCTTGCCGAACCAGCGGGAGAGCCATATCTGCTTCATGGTCATGTGATCTGGGAGAACCTCATTGTCAAAAAGGAGCTGTACCTAGGAGGGAGACGGGGGCACAGCTTTAGGAACCGCTCTCTCACGTACGTCAAGAACTACCTCGGTCTACTACAGACTCTGTCCCTCCCTTTCAAGCCCTTCCTTCCCCAAAACCCTACTGTGGGAATACTCACATGCTGGGGATTTAGCATTAAGCGGTGACACAGGACCCTCCGGAGATGACGAACTTCAGCTCTAACGGAACATCGGACATATTTGTTCTGGGGATAGGGATGGAAGGTAAAAGGACAACGTGTGTGAGGGAAGGGCCACAGGGAGGTGAGTCTCCTTAGAGAGGCCCTCCCCTCAGCCCCTCTCACCTGCAGGATGCTTTTATTCTTGTCTTTGCCAGAACTGGGGGAAACAGACACAAGTTAGGGAGTCTGATCTTTCCCTGTCCCCCACCCAGAGCTACGGTATACTCTCTTCAAGGCAGTAGACACTCCCTCACTGCTTGCCCTCTCACCAAGCCCCTCCCAGGTTCTGAGTCACTCGCACTGTTACTTCAGACAGTTCACGACCCGTTCCTTACCTCAGCCGTTCCAGGCACAGGCTCAGCTGCTCATCATAGCGATAGTAGTGGGCTTTCGAGTGGTCGAAGCTGCTGAAAGGGAGGCCGAGGTTGCTCAGGGCTGGCTCTAAGAAAGAGTAGTGAGGAGAGTGGCACAGATTCCATAGTCCTTTTTCCCCAGAAAGCAAAACTGGGCAAGAGGGATGTTCTGGGGGCTTTATCTTACCCTCCTGCTGCCAAGGGACATACCTTCCCCACTGGGTTGGGTAACCCGGTCCAAGCCTCGGGACTGGTAGAATTCTCGAATCCGTTTCTCTTCACCTAGAAGGGAGGGGAGTGTGGGAAATAAAGAATTACCCCTCCCTCATACTTTCTCCCCGTGACTGTCAACTTCTTTACCTATGTGATTCCCACGAAAGCCCTTGTCATCTCAAGTCACCACCCAGCATCAGTCCTCTAGAGGCCCCTCTAGTGGGTTGGTCACTCACTGTCTTGTAAGCCAGGCACTAGCTTGTACACGATGTCCTGCATGACCCGGTCCAGTTTGAGGTTGAGCAGTGGCTGTGTCTCGTGGATCTTGATGTTGCACATGGGGCAGTACTTACTGGTTTGGAGGTACTTCACAATACAACTCTTGCAGACTACAGGAAGAAAAAAGCAGACTCTCAGGCCCTCTGGGAATCGGGTTCATGGGCTGGGTGGGGTGCCTGGGTGGCTGGGGCAGGCAGCCAGCAGTCTGGCAACCAGCTTGGTGGGGACTAGGGCCTGGAAGAACCAGCCAGGGTCCAGGGCACTCACAAGTATGAAGACACTCTGTGATGGTGGTAGCATCCACGAAGTAGCCAGCGCACAGACAGCAGACGATGTGCTCATTCAAGTCTTTGATCTTTACTCGGACCTCCTCCTGCGGACCCACTCTCCGTCACCGATCACCCCCTCCAACCCCAAATCACACGCCTTCCCAGCTGCGGTGATACCTTTCAACAAACCCCACGGCCAAGTCTCGCACCTTGCGCGTCCTCAAGGGATTAGCTCGCAGGAGCTGACACTCCCCCTCCGCCCAGCAGGGGGCTCCGCGCACAGCGGGGGCTCCCTTCACGTGGACTCGCCCGACCTTCCTTTCCCAGGGGAGACTATACGACGTGGGCGGCACAATGCGCAAGCGTCCTAGCTCGGAGTTTGGCAACCCGACCGCAATCGCGCAGGCGCATTGGGCACCCTGTCTCTGCGCAGGCGCACTGGGCGCCGGGCCAGCCACCGCCCGTCCTCTAGCCGGCCCCAGTTCGCACCGCTAGCCGACCACAGCAGTAACCCTGCCGCCCCTGCACCTCGTTCCGTAGTGGGTCCATCTTGTACACTGACTGGAGCTGGTTCCGAAGCCTCATCGCGATCGCAATCTGGCCCCCCTGAGGAGACGCCATCTTAAAGGCTGATCCCGGCCGGCCACTTCCGGTGCCGCCTGCGGGGCGGGACTTGTCGCCCAGCAACGAGGGTTTAGGTCTTTTCGGATTCGCTGACCCTCTGTAAGGCCCCGCCCATGTCCCTTTCTCCCCGTGTGCTCACCTGAGCCCCACTGGCCCCTCCCCCTCCTCAATCCGTAATTAGGGAGGGGGGTTGTGAGGCGGGGGTCCTATCTCATTGACCTCTTGTAGTAATCATCACAATAGACCCTACCCTACCGCGAGACTAACTTTTGGAGCCTGCAAAAGACTGCCCCCTTCTACCCCAAAGGGCCCAGCGGTCTCCGCCCGCCGCTGCTCAGGGTCGTCGATCTCCTGTGACCACGACCCCGCTAAAGAAGCCCCTCCCGGGTCCTTTCCTCGTAATGTCGCTCTCGTCAGCTGACGCGTCCGCGTTACGGAGCTTCATCCGGATGGCAGGCCTCCTCCCGGCTCCACGGCGGGAGTTTCTCTGGGCTTTGAGGAGTCTCGGAGAGGGTGGCGGGTGGGGGGGAGGGACCCCCAGGGACTTGGTGTAGTGATCTTATTCGCCCCCCGCCATCCTCCTCTGCCGCCGGGGCTTGTGGAGGGCGGGGGGCAGACCCTGGTTAATGATGATGATTCAATCATCGGCGCCTGCGGAGGCCTGGGACAGACTAATGCAGAGCAGATGCCGAAGGAGGAGGGGAGGAGGATTGGGACACTACCGCACATAGACGCGCCGAAGCAGCCAGCGCCCGCAGTAGCATAGGCCCAGCCCCGTACTTGGGAAGGTCTCAGGAGCTCTAGACCTTGTACACCGCCATCCCTAGGTACTTCCAGGGGAATTAAAAACCAAGGATAAGTTTACTGTGAAGTATTAACATCAAGTGTAGTTGGGGACTCAAGGGAGAGACCCCAGTGGAGGCCACCAAAGGCTTTCTGGAAGAAGTGGGACTTTGTGTGGGCACAATTTAGAGAATGAGGGTGGGGTGCGTGGATAAGAAGTATGGTGGAAATAGAAAAGAAAGCCAGAGTGGAGGCGAATGACCAGAGAGATGGACAGGGAGAAGACCAAGGTGTGGATTTGAGAGTAGTGATAGAGGCAGGGCCTCAGGAGCTGGGACTTTAGCCCGAGGGCAGTAGGGAGCTAGCAGACCTTTTTTTTTTTTTTAAGGGAGGGGCTTACCCTATGAAAGAAACATTTTTGCTAATTTATCTTTGAATAATTGGAGTGGATAAGCAGCAAGAAGTTATGAGATTAGTGATGTTTAAATCAACCCCTTCTCACTACAGCCACTGCTTACCTCCCTGGCCCAAGATACCATCATCGGTCCTCTGGATGATTGACCGCAGTGGCTTCTGGCCTGTTTTCCTTGTTTCCACGTTTACATATGAATAAAAAAGGATATAAGGAAAGTTTTTTGAGTTGATGGATGTGTTTATTATCTTGATTGTGATGGCTTCGCGTGTGTACACATACACTTTTATACACTTTAAATATGTACATTTATTGTATGTTAGTTTTATCCTAAGAAACCTATTAAAAACAAAAATTTTAAATCAGGCTTCTTTTCCTTCCAATAGCCTCCCTTTTCAGAATAAAAGCCTAAGCCCTTCTAATGCTTCAAGGCCTTGCATGGTCTCTCCACCCTTACTGTTTGTTCCACAGATAACACCAAGATGTACTTGCATTATCAAATGCTCAGATATCCAAATGACTCCTTTCTTCCTCCAGGTCTTTACTCTGTGAGGGCTTCTGTGATCACATTAGATAAATCACAACCCCATCCGTTCACTTCTCCCCTTCCCTTTCTTTTTTTTCCCCTTCTTAACATTTCTCATTATTTAATGTATATATTGTCTTGTGTTTTACCTGCCTTCCCCACTAGAATATAAACTTTGTATGGCAGGGATTTTTTTTCCCCTTCTGTTGTGTCTGCAGCTCTATCTCCAGTGCCTGGTGCATGGTAGGTATTCAATGAAAATTTTCTGGATGAACAAATGAATAAATGTAGGTGGTGGTGATGCTGGCCTAGATTAGATTTTATCAGTGGGAATAGAAAAAAAGGGCTGTATCTGAGACATTTCAAAGGGAAGCATAGGAGGGAGTGAATGAGGAGCTTGGGAGGGGAGCACATCCTCCAGCCTGCTGGACTTCAAGGTGGCTACAGCAAAGGAGGGTCGAGCTGGCCAGAAGTTTAGGACAGAGGGGCTGGAACACAGCAAGTGTCAGAGCCTAGGATAGAGGTCCAGAGTTTCCTGAGTGGATACAATAGATGGGACTACTAGAATGCGTGAAACCTTGAGTAGATATAGAAAGAGGGAAAGCTGAAGTCCGAGCTCTGAGAATGCTCAGTCTTCAGTGGAAAAAGCAAAGTCGGTGGCAAAAAAACATAAGCATTGACTATGAAAGCCTGAGATGCAGAGTAAGACGATATTACAGAAACCAAACGGGATATTTCAAGAAATAGTTGGTAATCGACAGAGCAAAATATGTCAGAGAAATCCTCAATAAGAGACCCTGGAGCTCTTTGAAAAAGTGTGATGAAGCCAAGTTGTAGTGGGTTAAAAGAATAAATGATGAGGGGTGCCTGGCTGGCTCAGTCAGTAGAGCCTGCTACTCTTAATCTCAGGGTTGTGAGTTTGAGCCCCGTGATGGGTGTAGATACTACTTTAAAATTAAAAGAATAAATGATGAAGTAGAGGTGGTGGTTGTGCAGAGTACAAGGGAAAGGAAAAATATAATCTCTCTTGAAGAGTCAGGCAAAGATTTTTGTCCAGGTAAAAGAGACCTAAGACAGTTGGGGGTAGGAAGGACTAAGCTAATGAGAGAAATGATGATACAGGAGTGGGGACCATCTTGTGGGAAAGACACTGCACAAAAAGCGGGAAGGAAGGGACGGCACCAGAGCACAGGCTGGGAACGTGCTTCTTCCTGTGAAGCTGCCAGCCTGAAGGCCTGAAAACTTGAAGGGTTGGGGACCACATGCACGTAGGCTATGGTGAGACAGATGCAAAGGAGTGTGTATGGGAGGTTGGGGTTCTGACCCCAGAGCCTCCATCTTAGATATAAACTAGCAGAAACCACCTTTCCCAGGGAATCAGGGGATCAGAGAGGTGGAGACAAGCGGAAGAATCCCTAGGACTCTGGCTGACAGAATCGGATACCCTTTGTTCTTGAAGTAGGGCACTCATTTCTTTTTTGGTAATTCCCCAGATGTGTATACATTACTGGGTTTGTGACCATTCTCCTCCAAGGATCAGTTGGGCAATCTCTGGGTGGCAGTGCCATCTGTGCTGACCTCAAAAGGCCAGATGAACAGTCAGCAGGTATACAGGTCTTCCTCCCTCACTGATTCATTCAAGAAGGATTTATTCAGCCTGATTGGAGAAACACTAGTGCCCACACTTTCCTCAGAGGCCCACCCACTAGAGTGGGGAAAGGACTGACAGATTCCTAACCTGTAGGCCAGTCCCCTTCAGGGTCTTTATTTACTTTGCTGTCTCCCTAGGCTCTCTGTTCTCATTCAGGGGATCCAGCTCAAGCGGTCTCTGGAGGTTTTCCCTGAACAGCAGAAGTTTCATGCCCCCTAGTAGCCCCACCTCCCTACTGCTGAGAAAGGGTGCTTGGGCTTCTGTGAGGGGCTAGGGGAGGTGATAATGTCTGTCTGTCCCACCAACCCACCAAGATAACAACACAGCTGCCAAACAGGCAGGAGCCCCCCTGCTCCCCTTTCAGAAGGGGCTATTGGCAGGGTGGGAAAGGGCTGGAGAAATTGGATAGTGGAAGTGGACAAGAATTTGGGGGAGGATGTCACATATTATTGATGCCAACTGCCTCCCTCCTCCATGGTTCACCCCCCTTCAGACTGAGGTTTCTGAGAACACTGAGGGAGGGCCTGGTGGCTTTAGCGGGGAGAGTCCATTCCCTCCGTTCTTTATCTTTCCTGCCCAGATGCCCAAATATCGTTCCCAGTTCCCTGGAGAGAAAAGACCCCTCTCCCTGCCTCTGATGCAGGGCTGCAGCCCATCTGCTGGGGAGAAAGGAGGGGCAGTCTTTCCCAGGAGATCCTGGAGAACCAAGTGGAAGATCCGTGCTCCCAGGGAGACCCACCTACGAGCCTTGGAAGGCATTTCGGCTTACGCGGGTAACAGGCGGACTGGAGCTGAGCACCAGAGTGGCCTGGGGTCTAGGAGCTAGGGCTGACACAGCAGGGTGGGGTCCTTTGGCTACCACGTGTCCAAGGCAGGCCGAGCGGCTCATCCGTGCCCACCCGCCTCGGAATGGTAGCAACACCCCCCCTCCCTGCGCCCAGTCTCACCGGCTCGGAGGCGCCAGGGCCCCCCCGGGGCCGGGGCGGGCCGGGGAAGGTAATGTAATTCCGACCCAGCTAACCCGATTATGGCGGCCTGCACCGGGCCGGGCGGCGGCGGGGGCGGGTCTAAGGCGCAGGGGCCCGCCGGGCCCGGGTCCCATCCCGGGAAGGACGCAGAGTTCACACACTCCCAGCTCCTGGGTCCCCGGCCAGAGGTCACAAGGTCACCGAGCGCCTTCAGTCTTTCCCCACCTCCCATCCGTGACACACTCCAGGCACAGTTTCTGGGGTTGGGTGGGGTGAAGCGTCTGTGGGAAATGAGGCGGCTGAGACCGCCGAAGGCTTCAGTGAGGACCCACGTGTCGCCTGTGGCGATTTTGTCCTCTCGCCTTTGAGGGGGGGAAGTGTGTGAGAATTGACTTCCTAGGCGCAGAGTGGAGGGGCAGAGTCCCGCGTTGGTGGTCCCCTGTGGGGGGCGGAACGCCAGCCCCAAGCTCTCATCCGCCTGACTTAGCCCGGGTTGAGCCAAGGGTCCGCTTTACACCGATTTCAGAAAATCGAAATGCTAAGAAACACAGGGCATCAATTACTGGCGTTCCGGGAAGGAGGTAGGGGCCCTATGGCAGAGGCCGGGAGGTGCACCAGGATCGCTGGCCCAGAGGGGTTGCTCCCCCCCCTAGCCCACCAGACGCGCCCAGCCACCCCCTTCCCACACCTGTCCTCTTCCCGGGCCTCCAACTCGCCGGCGCCGTTCCCAACCGCTTCCCATCGCAGCCAGGAAGCCACAACGAGATTTGGTCTTCGAGGGCACTTAGGCGGGGGCCACAACGAATCTGGGAGTCGGCAGGCAGGACCCTTCGCGAGGCGAAAAGTGGGGGCTGTGGGAGGAGGCACCTGCGAGGAAGCCGGTGAGGCCGAGGAAGCCCAAAGGCGGAGGCCGGCGAGGATGGAGTTGCTGTGCGCTTCTCGCCTGACTCAGCGCGCAGCGGCCCATGCTCTGGCCCCTCCCGTGCTGAGCCTGGTTCCTAACACCCTTGCCACCTCCCCCCCCCGCCCCCTTATCCCCACCAACCCCGCCCGCCAGTCGTCCGGGCGTTTGGCGCAAACAGGCGTCTCTTTCCCTTTAACGGGTACGGCCCCGCCCCTGCCCTACCCCCAGCCCCCACTACCCACCCAATGCTGATCTGTCAGTCACTGCCCCATCCCCAGCCAGCCAACCCTCTCCACCCCGGACTCGGGCAGAGGCCCCGGCAGCCCAGCGTCCATCTGCGCCTCAGGGACAGCAAGGGCGCTCCTGGGGCCCCCGCCGGTCGCGCTCCCCCGGGATGCGAGTCTCTGCGCGGACGCCCGGCAGAGGCCGGCACGGGCGCGGCTACTCCCCGTGCACAGGGATGAAGCTGTCCCGGGGGCCCCGGCGACCCGCAGCGGCCAGCCCCGCGGGCCCCTGAGGCCGCCGCCCCGAACCCTCCGCTACAGGGCTCCCAGAGTTGCCTGGGGCGCCCTCCCCAACCGCCAAACCTCCTGTGGTCCTCCTTGACCCGGACCCATGGAGCCGGCGGTGCTGGCCTCGCACAACCTCCCGCACCACGAGCCAATCAGCTTTGGCATCGATCAGATCCTGAGCTGCCCGGAACCCCCCGGGAGCGGCCTAGGCCCCGGTCGCTCAGGCCAGGGCCATGGGGAGAGTGCGGCGTTCTCGGGTGGATTTCACGGAACCTCAAGCTACGGTCCCGCGGGTTCGCTGGCCCCGCTACCTGGCAGCTCCGGCATGGGCCCAGGCGGCGTGATCCGCGTCCCGGCGCATCGTCCAATGCCAGTGCCGCCGCCCGCGGGAGGCGCGCCGGCAGTGCCTGGACCCTCTGGCTTGGGCGGAGCCGGGGGCCTACCGGGACTCACCTTCCCTTGGATGGACAGCGGCCGCCGCTTTGCCAAGGACCGGCTCACGGGTGAGATTGCCCGACCCTCCAGCGTCCAGCCCCACATTGACCCCTTTTCCTCATCTTTGGTCCTTCTGCTCCAACTCAAGTTCCCCGTACGCTCCCCGCCCGGATCATCCCAGGGGATCCTCCCCCAACATGTATCTCTTGGTCCTGATGCTGAGAGAGGCAATGGGGAGGGAGCTGCCGTCGATGCCCGCGCCCTCCTTTGCAGTCTACTGTCCACACTGCGGGTAGGGCAGGGTGAAGTTCCGGGGGCCGTCTCCTCACCCCAGGGGGAGAGCCATTTCTTCCGAGGCCCTTTCTTGTCTGGAGGCCTTTGCTGGTGTGCGGCCGAGCTTGGGGGCACCTGGAAGGGCCGCCCTGAAAACCCTGCCCTGTTCCTTCTTCCTCCCCGTAGCTGCACTCTCGCCCTTCTCCGGGACGCGCCGCATAGGCCACCCCTACCAAAACCGGACCCCCCCGAAGCGGAAGAAGCCGCGCACGTCCTTCTCCCGCTCGCAGGTGCTGGAGCTGGAGCGGCGCTTCCTGCGCCAGAAGTACTTGGCCTCGGCCGAGAGGGCAGCGCTGGCCAAGGCCCTGCGCATGACCGACGCCCAGGTCAAGACTTGGTTCCAGAACCGGCGCACCAAGTGGCGGTGAGGCTTGGGGCGAGCGAGGGCTCGCGGGAGGCGTCAAGTGGCGGTGCGGCGCGGGGCGGGTGAAGAACCGCGGGCTCCGCGGGTGACCACGAGGCGCGGGGTGGGCGAGCGCCGGCCTCGCTGACCCCGCGTCTCCGCTCGCCTAGGCGCCAGACGGCGGAGGAGCGCGAGGCGGAGCGGCACCGCGCGGGCCGGCTGCTCCTGCACCTGCAGCAGGATGCCCTACCACGGCCTCTGCGGCCGCCGCTGCCCCCGGACCCGCTCTGCCTGCACAACTCGTCTCTCTTCGCGCTGCAGAACCTGCAGCCTTGGGCCGAGGACAACAAGGTGGCTTCCGTGTCCGGGCTCGCCTCGGTGGTGTGAGCGACGCCTGCCCGACCGGCCGAGTGCTCTTTCACGGACTGAGGCGCCGTGCGGAGCGCCGGACCCAGGGCCACAGAGCGCGCGGCTGCCCACCCCGTGGTGCCGTGGTTCCGTGGTAGCGGAGCCTGTGAGGAGGAGCTGGCTTTGAGGCTATCGTCGAGGGCTCCTCGGCCACCGCGGGCTCCTAGGCTAGCGTTTCGAGGTTGCGCCGCGCGTTTAGACGTGGCCTTTCCCGCCATTTCCCACTTAACTGCGGTTGCACGGCAGCTGGCACCCGAGGAGCCAAGAAGGCGGGACTTGCAGTATGGTAGCCAATGAGGTGAGGGGAGGGGGCGGGCTGGCCAATGGGAGCTGCTCTCCTGAGGACTTTGGATTCGTCGGAGGGTGGGTGGAAGCTGGGGTTCTGGACCCACAGAACAGGCTAAAGGTGGTGTTGGGATGGGGCGGCGGCAGCTCGCACTACCTGGGTCTGTATCAAAGGTGCAAAGGAAGGAAGACACCAATGACAGCAGAATAATGGAAGAGGTGCTGCAGGGCAAGAGTCTGACTGTGACAGGAACCAGAGGGTTTTCCACACTAGGCATCTCATTCTTCAACCGTAAAATAATTGCTAAGGATACCTTTCTGACTTTGAACCTCATGTTGTCATGTGTGTTCAACCTGCTGACTCCGTCCTCCTTGAGCCTCACAACGCACCGGGGCGGCAGGCAAGACGATACTTACACATCCGATGAAACAGAAAACCCAGGAACACTAATCTGGCTCTGGTCTCCCGTGGGGACAGAGAGAGGAAAGGGAGAAGCAGTGGATAAAATTAATGGCCCCGTGGAGTTAGGGTGAGCAGATTTTGGCAAATAACTAGGAATATCCAAGAAGAATCAAAGGTAATTCCAGGGTTGGAGATGTAGAGGATTGGGAGATCAACGGTGTTGGGGATAATGAAGGGGAAACTGAAAGATTAGAGCAAGATAACTACAGGCAAAACTGAATGCTAGACCTAAAGAGAATACATTCTGGAAAAGTGCTTTTGGGGAGGTTGGGTGACATGCACATAGAGGTGGAGACAGATGGAATGATGAGAACAGATAGACTCTCCAAGGGAAGACACTCTGAGGAGAGAAGCAGAGTTCTAAGGATTAAATCTTTCTTTCCACCAATTTCTACAAACATATTTACAATGTGAAAGATGATGGAAGATATCAAAATTAATAACTTAAAGGAAGAAAAGGGAAAGGAGTACCCAGCTGGGAAAAAAGGAAAGTATGATGTCCCCGAAGTTGTTAGAAAAGCTTTAGCATGCTGGTAGGCCAGGGGCTGCTGGGAAGCTTGTTGGTGGAAAGTTGAGGGTTTGGAGATGGTTTCAACAGCCTTGAGGGTTAAGAAGGAGCTGGATCTAAGTTGTATGTGGAAAAAAGGGAAGATTTTGTCTGATTTCTTGTAGCACTCTCACTCTTCCTCCCCTGCAGGTGAGAGCAAGATAAAGGGAAGTGAGCTTCAGGAAGGGTCAGAGACCAAAATAGTCAAACTACACATTTTCTGGGTTGTAGGTCATTCATACCGGAAAGGCTTGACTACAGGTGGGAACCAGGCAAGAGGATATTGCTGGAGGAGTTGGATGATATTGTGTCACCTCTAATTCATGGGTGTTGTATATGCTGCTGCAGAATCAAACTCAAATTTGGCACCATAGAGAAAGAACTTTTATAGATCAAAGTGAAGCACACAAAGACAGGTTTGGCATAAATTGGAGGCTTGGGGGGCATATCAGTCATTCTCCAATAAATAGAAGAAGGCTAAAGAAAGGGTCCAACCTTATGTATACTGTGGCTTACCCAATTTCCTCTATTCTCAGTCCACCATTTCTTGAGACTCAGGTTCCAGGATTTACATTTGATCCTAACCTTTGACTGGCTACCTTGGTGCTAGCCTGAGAGAGGACCTAATGCCTTCAGATGAGCTCAGTTCCATTCCTTAGGCATGTCACTGCAGGACACAGGCATCTCCAAACTCTTGGGTAGGGGGAGATTCACTCTCTATTGAAGAATCTGCCATTTCTTCTCTCAGCTGATTCAAGAGGTCTCTGCTCTCACTGGGAGGCAAGTTACTCAAGAAGTATGGAGGGGCCAACTCTACCAGCCTGACAGAGAGAGTCACAGTTAGATGATTTCTGTATCCTCCCTTATAATGCAGATTCTTAAACTTCTTCCCACTCCTTCCACAAACCCTATCCCCTCAAATCATATGTCACTACAGCCCACTAAGAAATCCTCTTCTCCTTAAGAGGATATCCTCTAACTCCCCAGCCATAATTTTGGCCCCAAGAAGAGGAATGGGCAGTGTAAGAGGGGTGTCCGTGAACTCACATCTGTGGCTGAATCTCAGAAACAATGGAAAGGCAGTTGTCTTTGGAAATGGAGAAATTGTGGTAAAGCACCCACGGCGGGGGTCTGGCTGGAGACCTGCGGCTTCGGTAGCAGCAGTATGGGGAAAGCTGGGCCACATGCTTATGTGTCAGGAGCAGGTAATTTCCAGTCCCGTCTGTGTCTCTGGCCACCTCATTTAAAAGCAAAGATAGTGAAGGAGTAAGTGAGGGAGAAGAGGAAGGCAGTAGGAAAAAGAAAAGGAGGGGGGGCTGAGAAAGAATTAGGAAGGGTGGTGAGAGTATTAAAAGTAGAGCATCATCTCTAGGTGTTAGAGTCCCTACCATATGGCATTTCCCATAGCCCCCTGCACCCCAATACCTCAAAGGAAAAGTTTCTCCTGGTTCTAAAAAATCCTTGGAATGGTCACCTGGACTCCAGTTTCAGAGATGGCATATCAATTTTTGGTCCCTCTGCTTTCTACTCCTTTTATGACCTTCACCCCAACTCTTTCCCCTAACCTTAAGGAAGTATCCTGACACCAGCGCTTTCTGAAGGTCTCTGCGATTCTGCTCAGAGCCAAAGGCTGGCTGGGACAAGGGAAGTTCAATTCGTTGCATGAGTTCTAGGAGTTCACCTCGAAGTTTCTGGGCGTGGCACAGTGCTGCCCAGTTGAGCCCCCGGGCCTGGCACCAAGCCTCGTCTGCCCCACCTACAAGAGGAAAGGGCACAGCTCTGGCTGCAAAGAGACCCCCAAGAGAAGCCAGCCCTTGGCCAAAGGGTCTCCTTCTCCTGGGCATAAACATCTACCGGCTGGTTGCACACCACTTCCCCCCTTTGGAAAATACCAGATGCAGAGTGGGCTACTCACTCTGTATAAAGGCTTCATACACCTGGATCAGAGAACTGTGATCACCATCCATATGTTCCAGGGCCCGACGCAAGGCAGATTCCTCTGCAGAGAGTGGAGGATGGGTGAACCCGGGAGCAGCTGGAGGAGAAGAGAGGAAGGTCGTTCTGGGGAATGAGAAAGGATAGCAGTACAGAAGGAAGGGTGAAAAGGCAGGAAGTGTCACTCTGGGAAGTTTATTCAAAAGACCTTGATAGCTTTCTAGGTGCTTTGCGCTTTATTAGACATTGAAGATAAACAAAAGACAGTCTCTGCCCTCAAGTAGCTTAGAGTCTGGTGAGACAGATAAGCAAACTTGATCAGCACAACAGGTGTGTGGACCAATATTGAAGCTTTTTTTTTTAAGATTTTATTTATTTATTTGTCAGAGAGAGAGAGAGAGAGAGAGAGAGAGAACGCAGGGGGAGTGGCAGGCAGAGGGAGAAGCAGGCTCCCCACTGAGCAGGGAGCCCGATGCGGGGCTCGATCCCAGGACTCCAGGATCATGACCTGAGCTGAAGGCAGTTGCTTAACCAACTGAGCGACCCAGGCGCCCCAATATTTGAAGTTTTGTTCGGAATTAGCTCAGTAGAGAGGGGGCAGAGAGAATCTGAACTGTGGGCATGACAAAGCACAGAAATTAGTAGCATGGCCTGTTTGGAGACCTGCATGCACCTAGTAAGGGTCAGGGGAATGGCATGTGTGGCAGAGTGGCAGGAGATAAAGCTGGAGAGGTAGGTGTGGGCCAGGTCATGAGAGGCTGGATGTGCTGTGCCAATGAGTTTACGTTCTGTCCAGAAGATAGAGAATAGCTGTTGAAGAAGAGTTTTGAGGGAAGAGAGTCCAAGTGTTTAAAGAAGTTTATTTGACAAGTTAGGAGGCTAAAGGAACCCACGCTGAGTGGTGGTGAGGATCTAACATTGGCACTGATAGTGCGTATGGAGACAAATAGATGAATTAAAAAAAAAACATTTAGGAGATAAAACTGAAAGAACCTGGAGAAAGATTAGTCTAGAATGATGGTAGTGGAGCTGCAGAGATGATGGCATGGTTTTGTGGTGGTGGTGAGGGAAGAGTTTAAGCAAGTGCTTGAGTTCGGATCTGGGCTGGGTACTGTGGCCAATTCTGATAGAAATGTCCATCAGGCATCTGATATATAAATCTAAGATTCAGAAGAATGGTATTGGCAGGGAGATAGAAGTTTTGGAAATTTTAAGTGTAAAGATGGCACTTCAGACTATGGGTGTGCATGAACTTGCTCAGAGAGTTCAAGGAATGAGAAGGCAAAAGGGGGCAAGGATGGAACTCTGAGGTCCAATTTACAGTGGATGAGCGGAGGACAAAGAGCCAGGGAAGAGATGAAGGGAACGGCCGAACAGCCAGAGAGGTAGGATGAAAACCTGGAGGAGCAAGTCACAGAGGCTCAGGGAGCGGGCAGTTTCAAGGCAGGAGAGGTTGCATTTTCAAGTGTCAGAATCAGAAGGTCGTAAGGAATAAGGACTCAGAAGTATTCAGTGGGTTCAGCCTTGGCGGGAGGGGGGGGGGGTGGGGGGGGGAGGGGGTGGTGGGGGGGGGTGAGGTGGTGGTCACCGCTGAGCTGAGAGATTTGTCAGTGTTGTTGTGGGCCTGAGACTGGGATGCAGTGGGCGGGAACACACCAGGCTGACTGGGGCAAAGGTGATTCTGCATAGCTGCAGGGGAGTAGAGGGTGGATGGAGAGGGGCGTGGAGCTTTAGTAATAACAGGAGAGATTTACACATGTTGGGGGCAAGGACCAGCACTGGGAAAAGGCTAAAGAGACAGGAGAGGGCTAAGTGGTTAGGGCTGGTTTTTGGGGCACTGTAAGGGGAGCAGAGGGGAAAGAGCTGGTCTTGGGAGTACCAGAACACCAGAAAGGGCTGGGAAGGACTGAAGTGGCTGCAAGAGCCAGAGCGAGAAGTGATTTATACCAGTGAGCATGGCGGCGAGGGTGAGCATCTCATCCACACAGTCAAACTCGCAGGAGGCCAGCAGGGCTTTGGCCAGCTCAGGGGGCAGGGGGAACTCTGATAGGATGACTCCCAGGTCTGACAGGTTCCCATCATCATCCAGGGCTGCCAGGTAGTCCAAGTCTTCCAGGGCCTGCATCAGTGCTTCTGGAGCTGGTGAAGGAAGAAAGCTGATAGGGCCGGGAGTCTCAGAGCCTGGAGGTCAGACAGCAGGCCTTGGGCAGGGGGGTTGCTCACCAGGCCGGTCCAGGAAGTGACACTCCCCAGGCTCTGCAATCTGTCTCCTCTTTAGAAGTAACACCAGGGGGCTCAGATTCTCCTCACATATCCTGGGTGCAGGCAGCGGGGGCGCCTCTAGTTCTAGGAAGGACTTAGGATACAGGCAGAGGCAGGACCCTGAGGGGAGAAAGACCTGGGAAAGAAGGCCTCTGTAGATTTCTCAGGGTTTGTGTGTGGGGACTCTTTTCATGTTTGATCACAGTTAAGGGCAAAGGCTCTTACCTGGTGGGACCCCTCTTGCCCGCAGTCTTCTTGCTTCTGCCTGACACTTGCTGATTGGTCTCAACACTTGGGATTCTGCTCGGATCTGAGGATTGTACACCTGTCGCCGCGCCCCCCACAACCAAGGCCAAGACAGATCAGAGTGGGCCACTTCTATCTTTAGCCCCCACATCCCCTCATCTCTCTCACTCACACTTCGAAGCTCCAGTCCTGAATCAATGACATGTCGGATGGAAGGGAGGGAGAAGGAGAAGTCAGCCAGCCAGTGAGTGACCACGATCCTTCGGGCACCCAAGTCCATGTCCTCATATGCAGCCTGAACAGCTGGGCCATGTCCTGGGTGAAGGGGCAGCACCCGTGGTGGAGGACCTCTGAGAGCCAAGGGCTCCACCTCCCTGGACAAGGATTCACAGCACAGCAAAATTTCCTGAAGAGAGGGGTGGGGCATTAAGGCAGTTCTCACCTTTTTGGTGACAAACCCCTTTGAAAAACTGATGAAAGCTATGGTTTTTCACTCTGAAAAAATGCACATACTCATAAAGTTGTTATAATTTCAGGAATTCACTGAGCCACAGTCTCTGTGTTAGATGGAGTCAAAAAAGGGGCGGTAGACCTCTTTACCCCCAAATCCTTGAGTTTGTCCTAAGGACTCCAACATAGTAAATGTTACAACTTCAATGTCCCTAACAAGCATTGCTCCAACTCCCCCAGGGAAGGAAGGCAGCATACACAAGAACCTTCTGCAGCCCATTTTTACCTCCTCACTGGGCAGGTACACTAGCACATCTCCTGGAGCCTCCTTCGTACACAATTCAAGCACAGCTTGGCAGGCAGCTTCCACTCGATCGGTAGGGACAGTGTCCCTGTATACAGGTGTGGGACACACGCCAGGCCCTCTGGGTACATGCACAGTAGGAGGATGGCCCCAGAAGGCTTGGAGCTTAGGTTCAAGGGCAGGGTCAGTAACCACAACCACTCTTGAGTCCCCTGGAAGGTTTCCCAGCCTGGCATTTCGCAGTAGGCCCTGGAGCAAATCCGAGGCCACTGACCGCTCCTGGGCCTCATCCAGCACCAGCACGCCCCAGGCTCCCGTGCCCCGGGTTGAGGCCACCTCCTGTAGAAGCAGCCTGTCCCAGCAAAACCTGTTGACATTGGCAGTGGGCAGAGGAGTCAGTGTGGACACTGAACAACTCCAGAAGTCCAGGGGAACGTCTTCCTGGGAGGCCTAGATTTTGATAGTAAGGTCAGAAAAAGATGCCGTGAACGTGTATGGAGACCCAGAACCTCACTGATGACGCTTTTTTTCACAAGCTGTACTCCAGCTGGGCAAATGAGGCTCATGATGATGGTGAGTTTGAATATCTAAGGTCCCTGACTGGGGTTAGGGGCTTAATTCAGCACTGTGTCGTGCATGATCTAAAGGGTGACATGGGCTGAGGGAGGGTTGGTGAGATGTCAGAGGACTGGGCTTGTTTCTACTAGGGGAGGGAAATCAGATTTGGGTCAGGCCTGCAAGAGGCCTCACCTGAGCAGGGTGTCTGGCCCAGTGCAGTCCTCCTGGGGAATGCTGTATCCAACCTCATGACCCAGGGTTATGTCCATCTCATCGGCAACCCGCATGGCCAGGCTCAGGGCTGCCAGAGGGTGGGGCTGAGTGACAGTTACTTGGCCTTCCTGGAACCCCCTGGCCAGTGCAAACTCTGCACACCACTGAGGGATCTGGGGTAGGAATAGGAAAGGACAACCAGTCAGTGAGATGTAGGATTCAGTCAGAAGTGCAGGGGGACTGTGGCCATTCTAATTTGGGGAGTCCCCTGGTCCTTCACCAGCCCCCCAGGGGCCAGTCTAACCCGGTCTCCCTTTGACCACTCCCCTCAAACTCCACGGAGCCCCATCCCCACCTTGCCGGTGGAAGGACCAGTTCTCTAGTCCCTCCCTTTGTCTACTCCCAGAGTCTCCCCCCACCTGGGTGCTCTTGCCAGAGCCAGGCTCTCCAGACACCAGCACCACTCCACTGGGGCTACTCTCCAACTGCTCCAAGAAGATAAACCGAGCAGCCCAGATGGGTAAGGCTCGGCGCTGCTCAAGCAGCTCGTAGTAGCGGGAAGAGAAGGGAAGCCCGTCAAAGGGGTTCACAGCCAACTCAGACTCCCCAGGGTTTGGGTCAGACTCTTCTGCCAGCCCAAGACGCTGAGAGGCCATGGTAGCTGACTGGCAGTACCTACAGAAGGCAGGGCAGTGATTAAGGCCTCGTATTAAAATGACTTACACCAACTTCCCACCCTTGATCCCTAACCTGTATCCTCAAGCAGTAATGCGCTGGGGTCCATCCTTCCCAGCATTTCTTGCCTGCCAGGAAACAGTGGAGACTTGAGTCTGACAGTGAGGGACTATCAAAGCGGACTATTAACCTGTCAGTCAGGTAGTAAAAACCCTGTGACTAACACAGGGGGCCTCCAGGGCACCAGGAATTATGGTAACCTGTGGGAAGGTCCTGAGGGGAAAAGGATAAAGAGATAAAGAACAGGAGGAGGAAAGGGGTAGGAACTGGGGAACAGGGCCACAAGGATCCTGGATTCAAACCTGCTTGCAGCTCTGAGACGTGTCACGGTGGCAGCCAGTTCCAGACCCACCCAGCCAGTCACCACCAACCCAGACCAGAGTGAAGTACAAAGGTAAATTCCGGCTCCACCCTGACGCTCGGCTTAAACAGGAATTCTTAAGCCTGGTTTTGGGGTGGGGCCGTTTGCTCCACCTTATTTAATTAGTCAGAAGCCTATGGAAAACAGGTTCCAGACACCACACTGAGCATGTGTACTCTACAGACAGTGTACATTGTGCTTGTTAGTGAAAGGCATCTTGGGACTTGTAGTTTTGCAGCTGTCTCTTCACAAAGTGGGGCCGAACACCCACGCTAGGGTCCAGTTGCTGCTGGTCTTCAATTCAGTTACACTTCCATAGTATCACTCATTTCTTGACACGAAGGGGTGATTTCAACCTCTTCTCACAAACCCACAAGGAGGCTCTCACCCGTTCCCCCCAACCAAGGGAAAAAGAACCTGCTCAGTGGGCTTTTGAGCCCCAGAGAGGCAACAGAGACCTTGAGTGAAAACCCTGAATTTAATGTGATTTTGGGGGGAGCCCCATCCCTCCCTTTTTACCACCCACCCTTCCAGCCAGTTGTAAGTTGGGTGAGGGCTGCCCCCAGTCTCCGTCCTGCGGCTCTGGGTGCCATCCTGTGCTCAGTCAGCCTCCTGGGCCTGTCTCTCTGTGAATCTCCTGCGAGACATAGGAAGAAGACATTGTGTGGGCTTTCCCACATTAGCCCTATAATTAGCTCTCTTCTCCAACCTGCCCCTTCCTACCCACTGTCCTCTAAGCCCCTCACCTTCTCGCATATTCATAGAGTGCCTGCTTGCGCTCCTGTAGGCTCTCCTGCCGGGCCCAGGAGGACTTGGCAAATGTGAGGGCTGTGGGCTGAGGGGTCACCGGGCCAGAGCTGGGGAACTGAGGTGATCACAATGTCAGAGGGCTTGCGAAGTCATCATCATTAAACACGCATCGAATGCCTACTTTGCAAGAGAGGCACTGTGCTAGGGTCTCAGGATCAAAAAAGAGACTTCGATAGGGAGTATGTAGACTGCCCATCCCAGCCCTAGTCCTGGACCTAACCATTTCCTGGGTCTCACCTTGGGAGCGGAGGCTGTGGGAAGGGACTGGGTCCCTTCAGTGATATCTTCCGGCATGAACGCTACAGCTCCCTCAAGCAGATTAGTGATGGTCAAGTCTACACAGCCAGTTCTGGCTGGGGAGAAGGGAAGAGAGAAGAAGGGAGTCTGTTTCCCTGCTCACTTTCTCCCCTCACCACCCACTTTTCCTCTCTGCACCTGTCTCCTGTGCGAGGCTACCCTTTCCCATACCCAGGTCTCTCTGGATGACGCCCAGTGGCACATGGGGTAAAACCTCCTTGACTCTCTGAGCCAGAGCTGCCAGCCGCACACCAGGAGAAGGGCCAGGGGAGGGAGGGAAAGAAGACTGGGCTGCAAAAAAGAAATCCGAAACATGGTGAGTGGAGAACTGGGAGGAAGGAGAGGCTGACGAGCACAGGAATAGGAAGGGAATCACAAGAAGCTGAGAAAACCCAAACAACTTTGTGTACAGAAACCACGTACCTGACTGAGGGCGCAACCTGGGGTGTCTCTGTCGTTTCATGTGCTCTGCTTTGTCTGCTGGAGTGAGTCGTGTCCCTGTCTGGCCCAATCCTTTGGCCACCAGCTAGGGAGAATTGGAAGGTTGACACTGTCAAGGTCTCAAGACTTCCTCCTCCTACCCTTAAGGAAAAACCCCACCTCCACCCTGCCTGTGTACCCTACCACCTGTTGTACACGGAGGGCAAACTCCTCATTCCCCTCCCCCAGCTGGCGATGAACAGGGGGCAGCCACCTGCAAAAAAAAATCCAGGACCATGTTGTGTGCTTCTTGGTAGAGGCTATCACCCTTTCCCCCTTTGATATGTCTTTTCATGTAACAGTTGTGATCAGGGTGGGCAGATAGTAAACGCTTTGTATTGCCTCTGTGATAGAACCTTGATACTAAACGATCTGCAAATAGACAGGGAAGAGGCAACCTCCCTGACCTTGAGGTGAGCTTCTCCCAGCCACCAAAAAGTGAAGACAATTAATACCTTACTTGATATACTGTGAAAGGGACGAAAAGTGACCACAGCAGTTCTGAGACCCAGGAGGCATCGGACACCGTCTGGAGAGAGGGCATGAAGTGAGTTCTAAGCCTGGGCCAGGAGTGGGAAACTTACCCTCCAAGCCCCAGAGAGTCCCTGTCCAACACACACTCACCACAGAGACTAGGGGTCTCTGGACTCGCAAGGTAAGAGGTTGTACCACATCCTGAATAGAAAATGGCCAGGAACTGGAAGATGGAAGAGAGAGTACGATGGGGATTCTAGCCAGCCGGTCAGCACCTGACTCAGAACAGAAAACTGTCAAACTGTACAAGTAGATAAATGAGGAATAAAGAGATACAGGAGAAAAGAACTAAAAGTGAACAGAAATCAACTAGGACGAAAGAGGTAGGGCTGAAAACTGAAAACTCAAGGGCCCCCAAGCCTGACCACCTACCCAGCTGGAGACCCATACCTGTGCTCACCCACCTGAAGCGCAGGAGCCCCTCCCGGCCATTGGTGGCCTCTTCCTCAGGGAATAGCAGCAGAGGGGTGGGAGGAAGCCTCGTGGAAGCACAGAATCTCTTGAGTGACTCCACCAACTCCCCCCGCCCATCCATCTCCATGAAGCCCCGAGACCAGCACACAAAACTTGGGGGACTATTGAGTAGAGGCTGGGAATCGAGAAGAGAGAAAGCAAGAAAAGAACATTGGGAAGTGAGAAACACTGACATATGGGGTAAAGAAGCGGGATTAGGGGTGAGGCTCAGTATTTCGTGGTCCCCAAGGGAAACGCGGGCGGGCAAAGGGGAGCCTCGAGCTGGGCCCCAGGGAACCGCCCCGTGGAGCTCTCGGCTTCGCCCCCCACTCACGGTGCTACAGCTGGTGAGCAAGTTGACTATGTTATGGTCGAAAGGTGTCACGTGGTTGGAAATGAGGACCCTGACGCGGTGATCCCGGAGTCCGGAGTCCTCCTGCCGGGCCACGAGCCCCAGCACCGCACACATGGTCCGCACCACGAACCTGGGGGCGCAGGCAATGGTGACTTCACGGCCTCGGGCCGGGCCCAGCCCAGACCCTCCCCGAACCCCCGGTTTGTTACCTGCGAAGGACACTGTCTGGTAGAGCGCAGCTGACCAGGAAGACGTGGATCCCAAGAAAGAGGCGCAAGACGAGGAGGCAGAACCCGACTGGAGCGTAGAGCAGCAGCGCGAGGAGCAGGAAGCCGTCACCCGGGAGCCTGGGGGCGAAAGGCGGGGTGATCGGGCGCCGCAGCCCGCGTGGACGCGGGAGCCGGCCTCTTTCCACCAGGGCTCTTACCGGTGCGAGTCAAAGAGCCGCTCCGGCCCCAGCGCCGGGGAAGGATCCATTGCTGCCGCTTTATAGCTGTCCGGCCACTGCCGCCATCTTCGCGCCCCGCCGCAGGGGCTCCTGGGAAGGCGGAGTCTTCGGGCATCCGCCCAGGGTGCCGGCACCCGAGGTCTTGAGGCGCCCCGGAAGGGCTAGCGTCCCAGCATGCCTCGCGGGGCCTTGGGCCACCTCATAACTCGCGTCCCCCGGGGACCACAACTCCCGGCATTCGCGGGGCGGGGGCGGAGTCGGCCTCCCGGAATCCTGGGTCCCGGCGTGCACTTCTGGAGGACTTCAGGTACCGGCGTGCCCCGCGTCTCTGGGTCCGCTAGCTCGCGTCCAGGGCGCCGCCTCTGTGTAGGGCGGGCGAGGAGGCAGCCGAGGCGGAGCTGATGGCTGCACTGAGGGCGGGGCGGGGTGCAGGCTGGAACCTCCGGGGATGGCGGGCTTTGGGGGGGGTTCGCTGGGGGAAGGGACCCCTGTTGACCCCTGACCTTCGGGCCTTGCTGACGTCAGGAACTCCTGACCCTCGGGCCCGAGTGACTTATGGGACCCCCAGTCTCCTGGCCCGGTTGTCTGTGGGGGTCCCTGAACCACGGACGTGTCTGACGTCGGGGACTTGGGATTCCCGAGCACGGCTGACTGCAGGGGCCCCAGATCCCAGGACCCGGGAGGTCTCAGGGACCCCTGGAACCCGTCCGCGCGTATGGCTGGCGGTGGCGCTGGGCGCTGGGGGGGCACTACTGTTGTTATTGTGGGGCGGGGGTCGGGGTCCCCCAGCGGTCCTCGCCTCGGTCCTTGGCTCGCCGCCCACCTCTCCCCGGAGCCAGTACAACTTCATCGCAGACGTGGTGGAGAAGACAGCACCTGCTGTGGTTTATATCGAGATCTTGGGCCGGTAACGGTGGGGAAGAGCAGAAGGCACCCAAACCGCGGGCTGGAGGGCGGGCGAGCAGGGGTCTGAGCCTCCTTAAATCCTTGCTTTCCCCCATCCCAGGCACCCTTTCTCGGGCCGCGAAGTCCCTATCTCGAATGGCTCAGGATTCGTGGTGGCTGCCGACGGGCTCATCGTAACCAACGCTCATGTGGTGGCTGATCGGCGCCGGGTCCGTGTGAGGCTGCTTAGCGGTGACACGTATGAGGCCATGGTCACAGCTGTGGATCCCGTGGCAGACATTGCCACGCTGAGGATTCAGACGAAGGTGGGGGGTCTGGGCAGGCTGGGTCTGGTTGGGTCTGTGAATTTGCTCACATCTCCAGGTGACAGTTCTCTTGTACCCGTTCTCCCCTCAGGAGCCTCTCCCCACACTACCCCTGGGACGCTCAGCCGATGTCCGGCAAGGGGAGTTTGTTGTTGCCATGGGAAGTCCCTTTGCACTGCAGAATACGATCACTTCTGGCATTGTCAGCTCTGCTCAGCGTCCAGCCAGAGACCTGGGCCTCCCCCAAACCAATGTGGAATACATCCAGACTGATGCAGCTATTGATGTGCGTTCTGACATAAGAGAAATGACAAACTAGGTTGGGGGTTGGGGGAGAGGCTGTGGGGTGCAGGCACCAACTGTGATAGATGGTGGATGAGCCTATATACAGAGGTTGGGCTGCACATATGTGGCCACTCAGGTTGGGCTGGGAAAGGAGAGATTTTGGAGAAAGTGCCTACATCCTGGTCATGCCCCCAGACATAGAGTCCCTGGATCTCTTCCATATTTTCTCCTTGTCCTGCAGTTTGGAAACTCTGGAGGTCCTCTGGTTAACCTGGTGAGTGGGACATCCTTCTTTCCAAGAATCCCTGCCCCAGGTCGGTGTGAGAAGGGCTGTGCTTCCCCTAATTCAATGATGTTTGGTCAAGCTTCTGAGCATTCTCCTGTTGGCTATCTCCCAGAATCCAAGCAGGTCTCCCCACCTCCCCAGTACTCCAAGCTACTCTTGTTCAGGTAGTCCCATCTCCTACTATGTGTCTGGGCTAGGGAACAGTGGGCTCTATCCCTGCAGGATGGGGAGGTGATTGGAGTAAATACCATGAAGGTCACAGCTGGAATCTCTTTTGCCATCCCTTCTGATCGCCTTCGAGAGTTTCTGCATCGTGGGGAAAAGAAGAGTGAGCCTGGCTTGGTGGTGGGGATGGGGGAGATTCCTTTTAAGTGGTGGGAGGGCCATTCACTGGGCTTTGCTGGGGGGCTGTCTATTGGGAGGAAAGGGTTGGGGAAGGAAGGAGGTAGCTGGGTGAGGCTCATTTGTCTCTCTATCACAGATTCCTGGTTTGGAATCAGTGGGTCCCAGCGCCGCTACATTGGGGTGATGATGCTGACCCTGACTCCCAGGTATGAGCTTTAGGGCTAGTGACCTGTAGGACCACCAGTGTATTCAGTTGTGGGCAACTGGCACTTCTGTTGAGCTTTGTTCTCAATTTTATCTTTATCTAAGATAAGTTGCCTCATACTTGGAGCTATCAGAAGAGCTGTTCTCTCTCATGATCTTGACTTTCTCACTCCAATTCATCTTGTACGCCTGCTACCAGATTGATTGTATCCTGTTACTGCTTTGATTTAAAAACTTCAATCCATTAACCTGGTATTTAGGGGCCATTTTCTGTTTGTATCCAATTTAACCTTCCAGATCTGGCTTCTTACATGAATATATGCTGTTCCAGCCAACCTGATTTCCTACTCCCATGGTTTTATTTATGTTGTTCTTGCTTTATATAGTTAAATACCAGAACCATTCTTCTAGGCTCAGTTTAAGTTCTACTCTTTCTTTAAAGTTGCTCTTAGAATTCTAAAATGACAGTAGTGTTATTGTCTTAATACTATATATCACTTGGAATTAGTTACCTTTTATATACATGTCCCACTTCCTAACTTCCAGAAGGCAGAAAGCCAGTTGCCTTTGTATCCAGAGTATCTAGTGCATGCCCTTGTCCATGCAGTTGTCAGTGTGCTGATGCGAGATTTGAGGTGAACGCAAGATGGGGAGAGTGCCTTGGTGTGGTTAACAGAGTGATCTCTGTCCTTTCAGCATCCTTGCTGAACTACAGCTTCGAGAACCAAGCTTTCCTGATGTTCAGCATGGTGTGCTCATCCATAAAGTCATCCTGGACTCCCCTGCACACCGGTGAGGGAGAGACTGCTTTGTGAGGTGGGGATGGGTGAGGTGTGCATGTGCCCTTGAACTGGGCTGTCTATTCCCTCCTTTCTCTCTCTGTCCGTCTTTCACCATAGGGCTGGTCTACGGCCGGGTGATGTGATCTTGGCCATTGGGGAGCAGCTGGTACAAAACGCTGAAGATATCTATGAAGCTGTTCGAACCCAATCCCAGCTGGCAGTGCGCATCCGGCGGGGACCGGAAACATTAACCTTATATGTGACCCCTGAAGTCACAGAATGAGTAGGTCAGCAGAAGTATGAGGCTCCTGCTCTGATTTCCACCTTGCTTTCCTGGCCTAGGCTCTGAGGGCACCTGAACAGAGGATTAAATGAACCAGTGGGGGGCAGGTCCCTCCAACCACCAGCACCAATCCCTGGGCTCTGAGGAATCATAAAAATGCTTTTTATATAAAATAAAATTATACCTAGCATCATGTTATAGTCAAAAATAAGGGGGGTACTGATCTTTTCCCCCACAAAAAGGCTAGAGGTAAAGCTGTATCCCCTCTCAGCTGAGGGGAGATACTGGAGCTGACCATTCTGACCTCCCTATTCAAGAAAACCAGCTGCTGCTGTCTGTTGTTCTGGGCAGTTAATCAGGTGCTGCTCTTTGTCTTGTGCTTGGCTCAGTGCTGGGCCTGGGAGCAAAAATTCCCCACGCTTGGCCACAGATCCGGCAGCTGGCCTAGGAAGGAGGGCGATAACCTCGGCTTGACAGTCCACATCCGTAGCACACACTGGATGAGTGCGGCTGGCCTGCTGACGTCAGGGGTTCCTTGGTAAGCTCCTGAGGTAATGGCAGCCTCAGACCCCCGCCCTTAGGGGCCAGTGGTGGTTTGTGGAGGAGGGTGGCGGCACCTTAGACGATCTGGTTGCTGGTCTGGCCAGGGTAGCGCTCAAACCTCCGGTTGGCCTCTTCACTGAAGGCATCGCCTACAAGGTGAATGGGCAGTTTAGGTGAGGTAACAGACCCATTGTGGGGAAGGGTGGGTGGAAGTGGAGAGGCTGGGAGATCCAGAGGTGGGTGGAAAGACACAGAACCAACTTAGGCAGACGAGAATGAAGGTCTTTCCCTCCCATCCCCCAGTCTCTCTGGGCTCCTCTTCCCACCAAATACCAATGTGGCAGTTGTGCACCCAGATGCGGTGCCCGTCGTATTTGCAGTTACATTTCATTGCATTGTTGGTGAAGTCGCTCTCTGCTACTTCAAAATTGGGGTTGATGACCACCTGTGAGTGGGAGAAAGGCAACATAACCAGTTGCAGCCCTCAAATCCAAGGGTGTCTTTAACAAACATTCCTCCCACTTGCCAGCTGGATCTCAGGCCCCCGGCACCTGCAGAATGTAGTTTCCTGGCTTCACATCTGTGATGTCAATCCATTGGCAGTCGATGTCATGCCGGTAGAGATCCCAGCAACCCACAGTAATGCCCTGCTCTCCAAAGTTGGCACACTCATACCTCTTGGAGACATCTGAGAGGGATTGGCATATGTCAGTGTGAGGCAAGGCTGTGGGATGGAGATACCGGTGTCTGTTCGAGGCCCAACTCACCTTCCTGACATTCAGTGTCTTCTAGACAGAAACTAGCTTTGTGGCCCTCAGCCACCTTGGTGCCGTTGGGGGTCAGGATATCATAGTGGGTGAAGATGTCCATGCTGTGGTAGTGCCTGTGGGGACAAGGGGACCCCTGTTGCCTTCCCTACCCGCAGTGGGCTTGCCCTATCTCCAGTGACCTTGCCCTTCTGCTTGCCCCTCTCACCCGTGACACTCATGCCACACCCAGGAATGACGCCCAGCCTTGGGCCTGAAGTCTGCTCGTCCCAGGTTGTGGATCTGGGAGGAGAACCGGAGGAGACGCCTGTGGCCGTAGGGCCAGTTGGCTGAGCGGGCCGAGCGAGCCAGGCAGTTCTCTTCGGCGGCGCAGTAGAGCATGTGCAGGGGCCGGTCCTCGATGTAGGCCGTCTCCTGCACCAGGGCCGAGTGCAGCAGCAGATCTGATGCAGCTGCCCCCAGGAAGGAAACAGAGTGTGGGAGGTCAGTGCTGGGGGTGGGGGGGCAGATGGGGGTGCCTCTCCTCTCCCTGTGGAGGGGGAGAAGCTGGTTCTTCACAGGCGAGGAGTACCCCTCCAGCTTACAGCTCTCTTTTTCTCTCCAAGGGGGTGGCCCAGAGCCTCCCTTCCCTGGGTTCACTCACTCTCAGAACAGATGACTCCAGCAGTGAAGCGGGTTCCTGTTCTCTTGCAGGCAATGTGGGTGCTGTGATGAGCACATTGGTCCAGGGACAGCTCAGACCCTGTGCAGCGCACTCCACTCATCACCACCTCTGTGGTATTCCCTGAGTCCCAGTACCAGGTCTCCTGGGAACATATGTTGGTGTTTCTGTGAGCCCCACCATCCAGCCTCTTGGGCCAAGGGACTCATTTCCACAGTCCTCTGCCCCAAACACAGGCTTTGGAGGCAAAGGCCTTGGTTTCCCTCCCTCACTCACCTGCAGGCCATGGTTGGCATAGCCCAGTCCAAGTTGCCTACAGGCCACCATGGCCTCCAGTGTCCCCCAGTCATCCCCACAGATGAGGCCCCAGCGAAGGGACCCAGGTCCCCCTATTTGCACCTCCACTCGCCCCTCATGTCGGCTGCGGCCCCCACTGAGTCGGATCTGTAGTGACACAGAATGGAAGTTCTGGGTAAGCTTTTGCAGCAGGCATGTGGCTGACGGGTGACTCAGAGGCACATAAGGGCTGGCAAGTGGGGGCATTGGATGGGAGCTGCCGGATGGTGGGGGCCTGGGACAGTGGGCTGGGAAGCTGTCAGGCTGCACATCATGACCAGGGTTGGAGAGGATGCAAGATCCTTGAACTGAACTGGAAAGAAAACTGACCTTGGTCTCTACCCCAGTGTAGGGCAGGTTGCATCGGACTCCAGCATCGTGGCTATGGGAACAGTCCTCGGCTGTGATATTCTTGTGGGGGCACTTCCAGAGGGAGGGTTCCTGTCCAGAGCATCGAACTTCACTTAAGTGGATGGCACCCATGCCTAGAGTGAGAGGTCAAAGATCAGGAGGTTATAACTGGACCTTCACTCTCTGCCTCGGGGTCTCCTTCCCAAGGAATGTACCCCCCAGGAGAGTGTGTACCTTCTCCTTCCCTCTTCCTCCCATCTTCATCCCCCTCACCCTGCCCCATGCGGGCACCACTCAGAGCCTCTCGAGCACTCCCGAAGCCCAGCTCCCGACACACCACGCTGGCTGCCTGCAGGTCCCACTTGCGGTCACAGACTGTGCCCCACGTGCTGGCCTTCAGGACTTCCACCCGGCCCTCTCCAGGGTGGGCCCCACCCTTTAGACGCACTCGGGTCTATAGAGGAGAGAGATGTGCCCAAAAGCAGTGAATGGAAACATCAGCACAGAGGGCTAAGTAGACCTGGGAGATGAATGAGATTCTGGTGGGAGGGAGGGGGTGGTCTCAGGTCTGTGGCCCACCCCCTGGAGAGAGGTTCCTCTCTGTCCTCAAAGGTCAGGGCTGTGCTTAGTCAGGGGGTGGCTAGGCTATGGGGTTCTCCACCTGGGGTGGGGAAGGTTATAGTCACTGTCTCACACACCTCCCCCTGAGGCTTCGACTGTTGATGCTTCTTCTGGCCACTGGATGCTGCGTAGAGAGGGCCTGGCACACAGCTCACCACCGCAGGGGCCCCCCCAGGGCACCTGGTGGTGTCATTGGCACGATAGAACTCCAAGGAGCAGAGGGAGAGGTGGGCCTCGGTGCCCACGCACGCCACCCCATGCAGACCAAAGGAGTGTTGCTGCCGCTGGGCCAGCAGCCTGGGGGGACAGGAGTGGGGTGCAGTCGGGTAAAACAATGCCCCTACCTCTTTGCCCACAACCCTCCTCCCCTCCATGCCTCCACCATCCCCCAACCTTTCGTGACCATTTTATCCCTTCTTCCCCTCTTCTCTGCTGCGTTTCCCTCCATAGAGACAAAGGGAACGAGCAAGTTTCCAGGCTGAAAAAGCCCAGATTACCCAGACAGGAGGGTTTGGGGGGACCTGCAGCCGAGACCTCTCTGGGCAGGACAGCTAGTCTTGACTTGCCTGACAGAAACCTTGCTCCAAATGGTTTCAGGCTGCTGGCCCTAAAGGAGGCTGGGGTTGAGACTGCTGTGCCAGGCGCGGGGGGGGGGGGGGGGGGGCCTGCCCGCCGGAAAGAGAGGGGCGGGAAGGAGTGGCTGACACAAACAGGAAGCCTGAAGAGCCAGCGGGGGGCGCACAGCTCGCTATTACGCTGAGGCTGAGGTCTGAATCAGGGTCGGGATGTAAAGCAGTGAGTCAGTCTTGGGTCTACATGGCTTCTCCGAGGCCAGAGTCTTCCAGGGCAGAATGTGATGGGTGGGTATGAGAAGAATATACCAGAAGGTGGACAGAGGGAAGGACTGGGGCTGGCACATGTGGGAATGAAGATGTAGAAATGTAAGACAGACAACAAGTTAGAGACCACATGGCCAGAGGGGAGTGAATACGCACAACAGAATGGAATGGTAGAGATCTCTCCAGACCTGAGCTGAGCTTTAATAAGGTAGTCCATGGTTCTGCACTTTAAACGTAACAGAATGTTCCGTAGCCACCCGAGCACGAAAATGGGACTAAACTAGAGACGTTAAAACTTGGAAGCACTTGGAAGAGATGCCTTGTGAGATCGAGGGGGCTTGTTCACTGACACTAACAGAGTGAGAGATGGCAGTGGGGCATGCGATGAGAGCAGTGCCCAGGGAGAAGGGCTCGTATTGGTGAAGTGAGCCTGAGAGGCTGGCTTGGCAATGAGTTATTGTAGTAACGTGTCCATCACTTGATATCAGAGGAAGGAAGAGTTCTGACGACTTGAAGTCACTGGCTAGAGGATGCAGAGAAGAGGAAAAGTTTATAACTACAACAGACAAAGGAAACCTGGAGACTACAGAATACCTTTGGAGGCTCAGGATCAGTGGATTCTGAAGCTCAGATCAGGTACTCTCCCAAAGTCCTGTGTGGCTGAACATAAAAGTCAAAGAGGCCATCACAGGAAAAAGGGATCGCTCTTTTAAACTTCCTCCTCCGCTTTCTCCACAAGGAACACAGTAAAAACAGCAGTGTGCAGTTGAGTTTGGGGTTCAGGGAAGACCAGAGCATGGCCATGCTGGGCACAGATGACCCTTAGCTAGAAGGCACTACAAGAACACCCCCAAATTCCGAGCTCCTTTGAAGCCACCCGAAGGAGGAGCTGGGGAAGGAGGGCCACCAGGGGACCACTGGGTGATCCTAGAATGTGCAGAACAGAGGAGGGGACGGAAGAAAGGGAGGGATTTTCTTCCTCTTCAGCTGCGGCTGAAGAAGCTATTGGGGAGACTTCTCACAGCAAATGGCCTTTGGAAGCCTAGTGAGAGGTAATCGCTGGGGTGGAAGCTTTCCACTCCCTTGATTTCTGAGGGAACCCATGAGAAAACTGGGGAATGGGGAACCTCATTGTGTCAACTGGGCCAGAGACACACGGACTATAATCTGATCCCATCCCTGGTAAAGGTTCCAGAGGGGACCCTGAGTCTCACCTCCAAGCTGGTAGCATGTATTTTTAAAAAACTGATCAAATAAAGGTAAGCTGGGAACATGGATCCCTTAGGCAAACTGAACTTCTTGAGGGAGAGGCAAGTGTGGCATCTGAAGGACAAAAGTGCCAGAGGATCTGCTAGAATTCACTGGGGGAAGATAAATAAGCATGTGGAAGAAGGGACTTGCAAAAATCCTGTGACAAGCATAGTTCCCCAGAAACCAACATAAGGACCAGCATCACTTTACGTTTCAGTGACTCATCTGGAAGGTGGTTTGTAACAGTTACTGCTGCTCTGCCACGTCTTGGTGGGGGCGTCCTGGACCCCTTCCTGGCCATAGCCCCATTGCTCTGACTCATCACTGCGCTCTCCCGCTCCTCACACCCAGCCTGAACTTCATTTACCTCTTGATTGATCCCCTGCCCACTGGGGGTTTGGGTTTGACTTTAAACTTGGTGATTGGTCTGAAAAAAGGAGAAAGAAGTTAGTGGAGGTAGTGGTTAGGTATGTGGCCCAGGAAGGACGCTTTATGCAGTGTGGGAAGGAGTAAAGTGAAGGGGGCCAGATTTTCCACTCCTACTGACTGCTGCACACCACTGAACTCCATTTTAGGGACTCAGGTTGCTCTCTGGATTCCACAACAGTGACGAGAAATCTAGTCAGTCCAGGGGGTGAGGGGAGAGGGGATAAGAGGTAAAGGGAGGAGAGAGAAGGGGAATGTGGGTGAACTGGGCGGGGGGGGGATGAAGAGTAGGGGGTAGGAATCATGCAGGCGGCTGAGGCTGGAGTCTAAGCCATTTGGGGGAAGTATAAGGGGGAGGAAGCTTCTCAAGTATTTCCTCCTGGGCACTCTAAGATCAAAGCTTGCCCATCCCCACGCCTGCCTCCCCATCCCCCCCGGAATGGCCATTTTGCAGTTACATCCCTAATTGGTTAGTTAGCTTGGGTTCTGGGATGGACATGGATAGGCTGCCTTCCATCCATCCACCTCCTTGGGCCACAGGGGCGAGCAGGAGGTCCCGGGGCTCTTGCCCCATTACCTTCCAAGGGGCTTGGGGCGCCGAGCCGAGGCTTTGGCCGCTCGCTTCCTTAACTTTCTGCGAGGATAAGACAATAGCAGAATCAAGATCAGTCTAGAACCAGGTGGGAAGGGCTGGTGCAGCTGGGGCCGAGGGCAAATTTCTTTTCCAACACGGAAGTTGGAAAGTCAGCAGGATGTTACGAAATGAGAGATATTCCCAAGGCTCAACCCTTCGCAGCTGTTTGGCTTCATATGCCCATGGCCAGGCTGATGAGCAGCAGTGAGGCACCTGGACTCAGGCTGATAGCGCCCCTATACCAGCATCCACAGAAATTAGGCTGGGGCCGAGGGGTAATGAGGGCTAGGGTCAATATCAGGGTTGATCTAAACTCGAGGGGAGGGCTATGGGGAAGGGTATAAGTAGGAAGGTGTTTGGACTGTTAATATGGTCAGAATGACCAGGCAAGGAGAGAGAACTGGCCTGGTTATAGGGAGGCTGACTGTCTTTTATTCTTGGATTCTCTCTGACTTCTGGCATTTCTAGGTTTGAGGCCTGTGGACCAGGACCAAGGCTGGCGGCTGAGGCTGGAGTCTGAGCCATTTGGGGGAAGTATAAGGGGGAAGAGGCTTCTCCTCAGCCGGGCCTACATTATACATGATAACGTCCAAGGACGTTAACTTGGTTTGACTGGGGAACATGAGGCCAGGTGGGTTAGGATGCCAGTATCCTTCCTGCCTAAATTAAATCCCATACGCTTTAGTCATTCACAAACCAAGTTCAGCCCCCAGATTTACTTCCAGAGAAATAAGTTCTAAAACTTTATTTCTTTTTAATTGGCCTAAATATGTGACCTATTTTCTTCTTCAAGAGGTTGTCTTAAGTCTAATGTCTGGAAACTGGGTCTGTTTCTCCTCTTCTTCTCCCTTTGATTTCAAAGACTTTAATTGTGCCCCCTCTCTGTCCTGTCCAACTACGTGCAGATGAGTGCAGGTTTTACCTGTCTGTCCTTATGAACTTATGGGACTCCCTGTTAGCATCTTACTTATCCTTTCTTTAAACATGTTCTTACTCTGCTGTCTTCTCTTGAGGAGTCCTATCTGGACCTAATATACTGTGTGCAGATGTACGAGGATGTTAGTATGTAGATCTGAAAGAGCACTGGAGTTGCTTGGTATTTCCTGCCCTGGCTTCTTCCTGAGGAGGTATTTAGTTGGTCTTTTTATCAAAATATCCAATATGTCCAACATTCCTAGAAAAGAGTGTACAATAACTCTCAGGTCCCTTTCCTGAGACATTACTAAGAGTTAGAACCTCTCATCATACAAGTATAGTGTGAAACTTTTTCTCCAAATGTCTTTTTCTCAGATCTGTCTAAAATGAAATATATTTTGTGTTTTCTTTCAAGATTATCTTGATCCTCCGAGTACTCAGAAAGATGTAGTACTGTCTAGGAACTTAGAAGTACTTCTTCTCTTAGTTATTTATAAGGTTTTTATATTAAATATCATATGGCATACCTAGTTATATATAAAGTACAATATAGATTATATTAAGAACCTGGTGCTTGTTTAGGACCAGTACTGATATCTGTCTTTATTTACACTCCTTCATTCACAAATGTGCTTGTTTCCTCCTATCATTTGTTTCTTCAACCATCAAAATGTACCTACATCTGCGCACCCCTCTCATTCCGTCTCTCTTCTCTAAGGCCACTCCCCTCAGTGTTTCTGAATTCCATCCCTTAGGATCTTTTCTTCTCCTCAGTTGAGAAGTCACATACAATCTCTCTTCAACTGAATCGTTTTAACATGTTCAGATCTCTCCAACACACACCCCCCCACAGCCTCCACCCCATATCTCCCCGCTTTTTCATAGAAAACACTGTCAAGAGTCGCTCCACTTCTGTATCCTCTCTCTTACCACTCATTCCTTAACCTGCTCTTTTCTGGTTTTCCCCATCACTCTGCGATAATAAAGCTAGTAGACAGTTTCAATCTTCATCTTATTTACCTCTCAGTAGCATCTGACACTGCTGTTCTCATCTTCTCTCCTTCCTTGGCTGTCCTAACACTACTAGTCTGGTTTGATTCCTAATTCTGGTTGCTCTCTCTTGGTCTTTTTCACAGGCTCCTCCTCTAGCTAGTCACTTAAATTTTTGGAGTCCTGTCTGAGGCATTCTATCATTCCATATCCTCTCTTTATATGTTCTCATTTACACCTAACCTTGTATATTCCATTGCCTTCTTGATGTTTCTACTTAGAGGTCTCAAAGTTTTCTAAAATGTAATGTAGGTCCAAAAAATAAACCCATAATTCTTTCAGTAAAATCCACTCCGGAAACCTAAGAGTTAACCTTCTCTTCTTGACTCCCAAACTCAGTCCATAATCAAGTCCTGTTCCTAAACATCTCTCCAGTTCATCCACTCTTGTTCTTCTCCAAACCATTCTCAGAAATGCTGTCAGAGTGATTTTTTGGAGCCCCAAACCTCATCATCATGGCCTCTTACAGCCCTCCTTGTGAAAACACTTCACTTGTTTCCCAGGGCTTCTATTATAAAGACCCAAATCCTTAAGTGGCCTGTCAGGTCTTCCATGATCTCTCATCACCTCTGTGTTCTCAGCACCTTGCACAGTGCGTTTCAAATAGCAGGAGTTCAATAAATAGCTTTCAGCCCTTGAGCTCTTAGAACCTCAATTTCTTTGCCTGCAAAAGGCCGGTAAATGATTCAATTATCTTTGCATTCTTTTCCTCTTCTAAAATTCTACAACTTTCACGTGTTCTAGGGCAGAACTATAAAACCAAGTGGAAAAATGATAAATACATCATGTTCTGATTTTCTCATTCCCAAAATCTTACTGGTTTCCTCTAAAAGCTAGCCGATGTATCTTCTTTCTCTAAGGAAGGTGGAGTTTTTTGTAATGACCTTGCCTATCCTTTATGATGGTATTACCTGTGAGAATGCTCCCTCTGTCTGATGTGACCTGTGAAAGGAAATCTAGATCATATCCCCATCACAGAATCTCCCAGGACTCCTGTAACCCCTTTCCTCACTACGGATGAGCTCTCTACTTAATATGTGTCCTTCTCCAGCCTTCATATCCCAGATTCAGTAACAGATTGCAATATCTACACAGATATTGCTGATCTCTGCAAGTTACTTCAGACCACACATACCTAGGGATAACTGCTGGGTTTCAAACTTGCCGAGGATGGCTCCCTTGGAAAGCTAGTGCATATTACCTTGAAGCCCAGAGGTGCCTGATGGCCCACACCATCCTGCTTTCCAGCAGCTTCAGGGTCATTTCCTGTATGTCTTCTCTTATTTTCTGTTACCAGTCATCCTACAGCTGTTCATCCCCCTCCCTCTTGGTTGTCACCCTCCGAGTCAGCTTCACCTTTATAACAAACTCCTAACTAGCCTTACTGCATCTAGAACCTCCTCTCTCCAATTCACTACTATTGGGTACACTTTAACAACACTGGCCTTAATTTATCAGTGTCCCATACAGATACTTTTATTTTTAATTTTGCCCTAAGATAAAGATGAAACTCTCTAATCTGGCATGAAAAGCGTTCCATTTTCTGGCTCTTAAGTATTCAGATCTTCCTTCCATTACTTTTCCAGCACAACCTTCTACGCTAGTCAACCATCTTTTGAAAAATATCCTAGTCACTGTCATCTCTGTCTGGGTCAGCAATGACTCCATTTTGCTAAGTCATGGACTAGGGAAGAATTGGAAAATAGTAAAATTTTAAAATGCAAGGATGGCAGAGTGTAATCTTTGTTTTTGTTTCTCAGTCCTTGTTCTAAAAGAACTCACCAGCAGCACTGAGTCAGGTGATCACTCTCTCCCTCTCCTCCTTGAAGCCCGTCACTTGGCTAACAGCCCGCCACAGTCCCTTGGTTTTCTTTCTACCTCACTTCACTGTTAGCATGTTCACTTTATCTTCCTGACCTCATAACATTTAAGCTCTCAGTTCAGTCCTTGGACCCCTCTTTTCCTGTTTACACTCACTCCCTTGGTGACATTGTCCAGTTTCAGGGCTTATAATACTTTTATTCAACTGAACTCTAGAGTCATATACCCAATTGCCTACTCAGCCTCACCAATTCAATGTCTTCGAGAACCTCAAATTTCACAGGTCCAAAACCAAGTTTTAATAGTCAATGTCCCCCACCCCCTCCTCACACAGAACATGCTCCACCGTCTTCCTTATCAGAAAAGGCCAACTCCGTACTTAGCTCAGGCTCAAAACCTTGAAATGAACCTTAATTCCTCTCCTTCTCTCATACCACATTAAATCCATCTGCAAATCCTGTTGGCTCTACCTTCAACCATACACAGAATGTGATTTTTCACCACTCTCCTGGTCACCATCACGTCTCACTTTCTTTACTTGGCTTTCAGGAGACCATAACCTCCTAACTAATTTCTCTGCCTCCTTGACTCTACTGCATCCCTTACAGTCTATTTGTAAAACAGCCAAAATAATACTTTAAAAATGGAAGTCAGATGTCACACCTCTGTTCAAAACCTTATCTCACATAGAGAACAAACCCGTCTCTCAAACGTCCCTACGTGATCAGGCTCCCCGTTCTTTCCCGATCTCCTCCTCTAGCACCTTTCTGTCATTTTCTTTCTTGTTGCCTCAGCTGCAGCCCCAGTGGCCTCCAGGAGCATGACAAGAGTGCCTTCTCCTTCCCTCTACCCCTCCCCTGCCCCCAAGGATCTTTTATGATCCCTCTTCCTGTAAATGCTCGGCTAGATTTCTACACAGTTTGTGCCCTCACCTCCCTTAAATCTTTTCTCAAATGATGCCTTTTCAAAGAGGCCTTCTCTGACCGCCTTATCTAAAACTGCAATCCTACTTCGACTTCCTAACTCCTTCCCTGCCTTATTTTTATTGATTACACTCTTTGCCATCCTTGCATTTTAAAATTTTACTATTTTCCAATTCTTCCCTAGTCCATGAGATCAGGGATTTTTGTCTCTTTTGCCTACTGTTGAATCCCTAGTGTCTTCAACAGTCCCCGGCACACCGTAGACACTCAATAAACAAATACTGGATGAGCGGATCGCTTCACCTTTGTTCACACTAGCCTCATCACTGAAATCTCTGCTTTTTAAATTGTACTGATCTTTCAGAACCTGATGCTTGGGTTAGGGAAGGTAAAGAACAGCACAGAGAAAGAAATATAACCCCAAGACAGATAACAGTAAGGGAGCACAGCACACAGCTGTTTTAAAACAGTTTGAGTCTCTAGACCAGATGAAGTATATTCCTTGGGGCTGAAAGAACTTTCAGATATGCCGAGAGCCAAGGCAAGGAAAATTAGAGCAAGTGTGGAGAAGACTAGAGATTGGATAATGTACTGACTTTCAAAAAGAAGAAAAATGATTCCTTGACCTAAAGAATAATATTCTAGAATACAATATTAAATGGAAAGTTTGTGAACAGTGAGGAAAATATATGGAGATCCTTAGAGACCTAGAAGGATTTCAGTAAAAATTAGCTCAAACCACCATGATTTCATTTTTTGATAAGATTACTAAATTGGAAGGCTGGAGAATGGCCATGAACATAATATACCCAGATTTTAAGGGAGATTAACAAAATCTCCCGTGATTCCATTATAGATAAAATGGTGAAATGTTGGCTACGTCATTATAGTGTTCAGTTTGTTCCCAATTAATGGAAAAGATATTTCACAACTAATGAGTAAAGACTTGATGAGTAAGGAAGAGTTAGACTTTGGGTTTTGAACATTTCACTCTGATGAGGCAGAAGGCATAGCTATCATGTATATCCTCCAGAGGAAGCTGGGAGGGATGACAAATGGAAAAAAAATGTCAAGATTCAGGATAATCTCATAGGTTCACGGTGGCTTTTTAATGGTTTTTGAAAGATGTATCCAACTAATTTAATAGGGCAAACTCAACATAGATTTAGGTTCAAATAGGCTTTTCTATTAGTATCAAGGATAAGGGAAGATCTCAATTGGTTTTAGATGATTACCAGTTCAATAGGAACAGTGGGATGTTTCCTCAACAGAAAGTCAATACCAAGTCTGGACATGCTCTACCCAAAGTTGAGCATTTCTACTGTACCCTGCCCTGATCCGACCGTATCTGAAGTTGTGTGCCCAATGGAAGCTCAGCTAGATGTCAAGAGGTGTTTCTGCAAAACTCAACTAAGGAAGAGCTGAAAACAAATTAGCACTTTATCCTGCGTAATAGATTACAGAGAGACTGTAAAGATTTCTAAACTCCTCAAAAGGACTGCATAAGATACTCCAGGGTAGCGAGGCGCTGTTAAGGACAGAGCCATTCACCAGCGTGATCCGTTACTCTGGAAGCCAGCGCGTACACCAGGGCTCCAGGCAGTGGAGAGGGCCGGGAGTCTCGGCCGAAGGATATTCTGGAAAACTTGCTAGGATCCCGGGGGCTCCCGAGGGCAGGGCCTGACCTCTCCCCGCGCCCTCTGACCCTCGGGGATTGGCTCTCTGACCGGGACACGCGGGCCCAGGCCCGCGCTGGACACACCCAGGCACCGCCTCCGCGGAGTGCGGCCGCGCGCTCCCTGAGCTCGGATGGCGGGCCCCGAGGCCGCGCCCGCGCCGCAACAGTAACAGCCCCCGGGACCGCCGGCCGCTGGGCGTGGCCTGGCCAGGCTTGGCGCGCGCCCCGGGGCGCGGAGAGTCTGCCTGCCAACCGATGGCGTCATGGGCACCGACCCGAGACCGGCGCCACTCGCCCCGCCCCCGCTGCGGACCCGAAAGAGCAGGAGCTTTGCTTGCCCCATTTCAGACCCGCCCCGGGGAGCCCTTCATGGTCCCACAAGATGTCTCAACTCTCCAGTTTCGAAAGGGCCTCCATATTTCTCCACTGTTGCAGAGCCCCGGACCCTCCCGGGGGTCGACACACCACCCCTTAGTGAGCACCCCTCAATCCCAGTCCACTCAGCGCCCACGTTCCTTCACCTGTAGAAGGCCGTGTTGACCCTCTTTTCGCTAGGGAAGCCCAGCATCCCGCAGACCACGTGGCTGTTCTGGGCGCTCCAGCCTTTGTCACACAGTTGCGACCAGCCGTCGGGAAGCCTGACTTCGACCAGTCCCTCGGTCACTGGCAGGGGCCGCCTGCCCCGCCCCACGGCCGGTCGAAGTCGCACCTCCTCCACTTGCAGGTGCTGTTCTACCTGGGATGGGACCACAAGCAGAGGAAGGAGAATCAGTAGCGCCTTTTACATGTCCTCCCACCCTCATGGACCCTGATCATGTGCTTGCTGTAAAGCCCGTGGGGAGTAGGGGCTGCCACAGGGCTGGGAGGCATGCCTGCTGTCTGTGATGAACTGACTCTCCTGGGCCACGAGAGTGGAAGGAAGGGCACGTGCTCTGAGAGGCGACTGAGGGTGCTGAGGAGGTTGGGGAAGGAGCGCCCAAGGCGGCCCCAGCATGAGAGAGCAGTTCACAGAGCAAGTGGCATGGAAGCAGTAGGAGAGATTAGGAAGGGAGATGTTCCAGGAGAGCAGGGACACCTGAAAGGAGGGAGAGCAAGGGATGCCCTGGGGACCAGGGATGAAGCTGGAGAGGTTCACGCCAGGCTTAGTAACTTGAATGCCAATGCTAAAACAAACCTGGGCTTTAATACGTCTAGCTCTATCCTTTGTCCCCACCCCCTAAGCCTTCCACCAACCCAAATTAGCCTGCGGGGCATAGGGGATTCCCTACCTTCTAGTACCCCCTCTAACCACATATAACCACCCTGGTCATCCTGGGTGGTGTGTGTGTGTGTGTGTGTGTGTGTGTGTATGAACGGCAGACCTCAATGACATTCGAATCTGAGAAGCCGGGGAGGCGCTGGTCCTTGCAGATGACTCCAGCATCCTCATCGTGGGTACAGTCACTGTTCCCCCAGCCCCGGGAGGCACATTCAGTCACACTCTGCTCAGTCCCACTGCAGCTCAGGTTGTCCAGCCAGATGCGGCCTGTGGAGCAAGAGATGGGGGGATAGAGAGGCTTGTGGAGGCAGGATGGAGGAGGGAGGGAGGTGATGGGGATTTGGGGAGAGTGAGCATACAGGCCTTGCATCTGGCCATGATGATCCCATTTTTCTGGTAAGATAATGGGTGTGCAAGAGACAGAACACCCTGGGAGTTAAAGGGAGCACAGGATTGATGGGGGGTCAGGGGTGATCTGGGGGATACTCAAGAAGTTGGTACAGTGAATAAAAAATCAAGAGTCAACACTGAATTTCTGATCAGTCCTGACCTATTCAGTAATAACTACAACTTATCGAGTACCTGTTGTGTGTTAGGCACTCTGCCATGTATACATATATATGATTATTCTTAGACCTGCCACCATTTTACATAAAGAAATTGGGGTTCAGAGAAGTTAAGTAACTTGCCTAAGACCACACAGCCAATACACGGGGACTTAGGGGTTTAAGCCATTTGTGAGACTTGGAAATCTAAGATCTTTTCACCTCAGCCTCACTTTCTCCCATGGGCCTGCCCTGTCTGTGCTGCCACATTGCTCCTTGTTTTTCTCTCTCCCTGGACCACACTGAAATGAGTATCTGACTTCTCAGAGTTGGATGGACGCAATCCACATGGGATTCCACCCCATGTGACTCGTCTGTCCCAGCCAATGGCAGGGACCCATCATGCACATCCTGACGGGACTTACCCAGCTTTTGCTGGGATGCCTACTTCCTGCCCCACCAGGCCACTGGAACCATCATAGAAGTCCTAGTGACTCTTTGTGACTTTCCCCACCAGGTCTGATTCAGTCCTTTGCTGCCATCCAGAAAACTCCCTCAGCCAAATGACTGTCCTCATATTTGAAGACAACCTTCGGGTAAACGCTATCCAAAGCTTTTTCTTTTCATACCAAACACCCCTGGTTTCTTCAGCTATTCCGTCTTGAAACTTGGCTTCCAATCTTTCACATCTGGGCAGCTCTCCTCTGAAAGCATTTCCATTTTCTACTGTCTCTCTTAAATGTGGCACCTACAAGGGACACTTTATTCCAGAAGTGGTCCAGCCAGTGGGAGTGGGGGATGCGCTGCAGACTGCACCGGCTTCTGTCCGTCAATCCTTCTGTGGGCTCATACAATGTAAGCACTTTCAGGTCTCAGAATTCCTCCTAAGCCCCTACTACCCACATTCATTCTTGTCTTAAGAGTTTATACTTGTTAGTTCCAAGAAAGTTCTAAGAAAACTTAGTTCCAGCTTGCTGGTTTCAGCTCTTGCCTACAATCTGATTTTGTCAGCTGCAGTATCTGTGATGCCTTCTGGTTTGGGACATCCAGACATCATTTATCTGCTCTCAGCTTTCCATCAAACCAACTGTGCTTTACTTGTACAGGGCTCACCTGTATCAGGGCTGTCCTTGCATGTGTCTTTGTGGAATCATGAGTTTGCCGAAGAAAGGCACCTAGAGATCGCCTAGTCATTTTGCACATAGGGCATCTGAAGATCAGAGAAGGCATGGACCAGCCTAAGGTCACGTAGGTCTGAGAACTGACTCTCAACCATGGCTCTACTTGACACTGGCTGTTTCTGGTGTCCTGGCTCCCTGCACCTGGCCTGGTGTTCCCTCTCCCTGCCTTAAGGCAATACCTAGGCCACGCATGGAGCTTTGCTCACCTGTTCCAGGGCCGTATTTGGCACTGTGGGTCCAGCCTGTGGCCTCCGTGAAGCCCAGCTCCCGGCAGAGGACATGGGCAGCCTGAAGGGTGAAGTCGTCATCGCAGATGGTGCCCCACTCGCCAGCTCGCTGGATCTCCACGCGGCCCTCGAAGGGCTTCCTGGGGAAGCCGGCCAGCCGGAACCGCAGCCCCTGGCTGCCAGCCCTGTCCTCGGGGGTCGTGGCCGGGGATGGAGACCCCAGGCAGGAGCTGCACAGCAGGGACAGCAGCAGCCCCCATGGGCTCCATGGGCGGGTTCTGACATGTCGCATGGCAGGGAAGGCCTGGGGGCCCCAGAGAGAGAGAGTGTGTGAGAGAAAGCGAGACCAAGCCGGGCCTGGGTCCCAGAGAGTTCAGGAGAGGAAGAGAACCCCGAAAAGGACAGAGACAGAGACCGTGTGAGAGAAAGCCAGGGACCCAGGGACTAAGTGAGAAAGAAACACAAACTCAGTAAGAGCAGAAACAGAGCCCAAGAGGCGCAGACTAGGGAGGGGGGAGAGAGAGGGAGACAGACACAGAGATAGAGAGGCTCTCCCTCACCATCAGCTGTTCTGCCTCACAAGGACCTTTCCTAGCTCTGTCATCATCACCTCCATTATCCCCACCCACCGCTCTAAGAGACCCAAAGTTCAAAAGACCGTGATTAGAGACCAAGAGGCAGAGAATGGTCGAGAGAAAGAGATAGAGACTGAGCCAGAGGGAGACCCAGACAGGATGTGAGAGGAAGGGAAACTGTGGGAACAAAAGGGGAGCAAACAGAAAGAGACAGCAGAGAGAGACAACGTGGAAGACGGACAGAAGGGGACCGTGAGAGAGCCAGTGCACAGAGCAATGGAGAGATGCAGGCAACAGGTGGGGAGAGGGCCTGGCAGGAGCCAAGGAGGGGTGGTGGCAGGAACCCAGATGATTCCATTCAGCCAGTCAGACAGAGGACAGACAGCTACTGATTGTGGAGAGAAGCAGGCCAGGGGGCTTAGGAGCCCCTCAGATCTTAGGTTCTGTGATTGGGAGCCAAGCCCAGAGTCCTGTCTGGGCAGATTCCACGGCGGAGCCGGCAGAGACCAGGACGCATGGAGAACCCCCTGCACACCCTACCCAGCACACAGGCTCTCACATGCCCTGCAGGGTCAAGGGGCCCAGGAGGGCCAGGCCTCAAGCTGGGAGGGGGAATGGGGTGGGGTTGTCCAAACCTCCTGCCAACACTGCCATCGCTGTCACTGGGCAACCGGAGGCCAGGGCGCCAATCAGCTCCTCAGCCAAGGCCTTCCCTCTGTCTGGGACTGAGAACAGCCCCTCTCCAGCAACGGCCCCCCGAACATGCTTTCCCCAACTCAGACAAACAACACAACAGGACAGCTTTGTTCTGGGGACATTTTGGCTTGGGGGCCCAGGGGTAGGGCCTCACAGAGGAGCCTCCAGGCTTAGGGCCCTGGCCGCTGCCCTATTTGGAACACCCTTCAGAACCCCCACCCGCCAAATATCTGCCCCCTCACTCCACTCTTCTTGTGTCTCTCTTTTTTTAAACAATGATAAAACCCTCTGTTGGTTGGTTCCCCTCGACTCCATCCTGCATCACCCCTTTTCCGTGGTCCCTCCACCATCCTCTCCATCCGAAACTCCCCTTCCTCCCGCGACAGCGTGACTCCCCCTACCTTTGGCTGAGCGGAGCTCTAGGGGCTGGGAGAAGAGTCCAGGTCCTGGAGATCAGTCCTAGGACTTCCCAAAAAAATGCTCGGCCAGGGGAGACTGGACCCCCCCTCTCTCCCCCCTCTCCGTTCGTCCCTCCCACGTCCCCTTGAGCCCTCCCACATTCCGCCTTCTCCTTCCATTCCTCCCTGGCCAGTTCCCTCCTCTTCTCCTTTTGGTCCTCCCCTCCCCCGTGGAGCTGGCCGCGGCCGCTCCACCTCCCTCAACCCCCCACCGCCGACCCTCCCCCGGCCTGCTTAATGAAGCTTTCTTTTCCCGCGGGTTGGAGGCCGGGCAGCTGCGGTCAGGGAGCTGGACACGCAAGAGGCCACGGGGCCGCGGACCGGCCTGGGCGGCGGCCCCTGAATCGGCGGGAGGCCGCGGCTCAGCTCCGGGCTCCGGGAAGCCTTCCAGTCCCCAGCCCCCAGCCCTTCCCCCACGTCCCGGACTCCGCGGAGTGTAAACAGCCAGGCCCCTGCCGGGCTAGGGGCGGGTCCGGTCAGGGGAACTGAGGCGATGAAGGCCCGCAGAGTCCCTCCGGTGCCCCACGGTGCCCACTGGCATTTTTCGGGGTGACGTCACGGCCTTCACTCTGATGTCACGTTGAGCATATGACGTCCTACACAGCCCATAAGCCCAGGCGCCAGAGCCCTCTGGCCGAAACCTCGAGGTTTCTCCTGGTGGAGCCACTTGTGCGCGTCCCAGGGCTGTGGCAGGAGTCTGAAGGTGGTGAACCGCCCAACTAGCTGGGGACCCCTTCCCTTTTCCTTTTGCGGTTCTCCTTGCTCCACCTTCGCGGGCCGCGGAGGCCGGGGGAGGGGCGGGAACGCCTCCGGTGGCGCGGCCCCGCCCCCGCCCCGCCTCTAGCCCGCAGGGTCAGGAAGCGCGGAAGGAAGCGCCGGGGGCCATGGACGGAGCTGTGATGGAAGGGCCGCTCTTTTTGCAAAGTCAGCGTTTCGGTACCAAGGTAGTCGGGGGCAGGGGTTGCAGAACCCCATCAGACTTAGGAGTGGGCTGTAGAGCCCAGAGGGAGGGAGGGAGGGGGTGGCAGCGGGTTGGAGCGCGGGCCGGGAGCTGAAGAACCCTATGACGTTCCCGCGAAGTTGATTGCACGCTCCGGAGAAGGTCCGCTGGTCTCGCGGTACGCCCTCTCTGGTCCTGCGGAGACGGAGCTGCATTCTTCTCGGGGAATTTCGCCCCCGGCCGGGAAGCTGCAGACCCGAAATCGGCCTGCGCCGGTGCTCGCCCACTCCCTTCCCAGCGTCTCGCTCTCTCTTCCCAGAGGTGGAGGAAGACCTGGGCGGTACTCTATCCTGCCAGTCCCCACGGCGTAGCGCGGCTCGAGTTCTTTGACCACAAGGGGTCGAGCTCCGGAGGGGGCCGAGGGGGCTCGCGCCGCCTAGACTGCAAGGTGATCCGTCTGGCGGAGTGTGTGAGCGTGGTCCCCGTGGCGGTGGAGAGCCCCCCAGAGCCTGGCGCCGCAGCTTTCCGCCTGGACACCGCGCAGCGCTCCCACCTGTTGGCGGCGGACGCGCCGTCCAGCGCCGCCTGGGTGCAAACACTGTGCCGAAATGCCTTTCCGGTGAGCGGGCCGGGGCTGCCCGCGAGGGGCTGGGGCGAAACGCACTGGGCCCAAGAGGCGACTCGAGGTGGGGGCGGTTACAGCAGCAGAGGGCCTGGGCTGGCTCGGACCCTGGCAGCACTGGTGAGGGAATTGCAGGGTCCTCGATACTCTCTCTCCTTACCCCAGAAAGGCAGCTGGGCTCTGGCGCCTGCGGAGAACCCACCCAAGCTTTCTGCCCTGGAGATGCTGGAGAACTCGCTGTATAGCCCCACCTGGGAAGGTAGACGCCTGAGCCTGGGCAGGGATGGGGTGGAAAGGAAGGGTGTCCCTAGGAAGGGAGTGATTAAAGGGTCAGGGACCATGGGGAAGTAGGAAGCTCCTGAAGTTTCCAAGTGAGTGCTTGGATAACCTGTCCCCACCTACCCAGCGCCTTCACCTAGCAGTCTGGCCGGGTGCCAATCTAATTGTGTATTCCTTCCAGGATCCCAGTTCTGGGTAACAGTGCAGAGGACGGAAGCCGCTGAGCGCTGTGGCCTGCATGGCTCCTATGTGCTGAGGGTGGAGGCTGAGAGGCTGACTCTCCTGACCGTAGGGGCCCAGAGTCAGATACTGGAGCCACTCCTTTTCTGGCCTTACACTCTGTTGCGCCGCTATGGCCGGGACAAGGTGCGGGGGGCTGTCAGGGAACCCCGACTTCCTGGGTTGGGGTAGCTGTGGGGTGGGTGGGGTGGGGCAGGACAGGAAGGCGGGAAGCTCTGTCCTCTGGATAACCCTTCCTTGCTCAGCCTGTGGCCGCACCTCCCTCCCCAGGTAGTCTTTTCTTTGTAGATCCTCTATACTAGGCCAGGCCCTGGGACTCATCTCCTTTCATGGCTCCTGGTAATGTGTTTTCCTCCACACCTTCTTCAGGTCATGTTCTCTTTTGAGGCTGGTCGCCGCTGCCCTTCAGGCCCTGGAACCTTCACCTTCCAGACGGCACAGGGGAATGACATCTTTCAGGCGGTTGAGACTGCTATTCACCGGCAGAAGGTCCAGGGAAAGGATGGTCAAGGGCAGGATAGTCTCAAAGCCGATTCCCAGGAAGGAGAAGTGGCAGAGGGAAAGTTGACATCCCTGCCTGGCCCTCAGGAGCTCCCGGGCAGCCCTCCCACCCTGTATGCTGAACCCTTAGACTCCTTGCGCATTCCTCCAGGCCCTTCCCAGGATTCCCTATACTCAGACCCCCAGGACAGCACCCCTGCTCGGGCAGGGGAGGGAGTGCAGTTCAAGAAACCTCTTTATTGCGGCTTGTACGAGCATGTGCAGCAGCAGTTGCTGAAGGCCAAGCTGACGGACCCCAAAGAGGACCCCATCTATGATGAACCTGAGGGCCTGGCCCCAGCTGCTCTCCGGGGCCTTTACGACCTGCCTCAGGAGCCCAAGGATGCCTGGTGGTGCCAGGCTCGGGTGAAGGAGGAGGGCTATGAGCTCCCCTACAACCCTGCCACTGATGACTATGCTGTGCCACCTCCTCGGAGCACAAAGCCCCTCCCAGCTCCCAAGCCCCGGGGCTTGGCCTTCCCTGAACCCAGAGCTCTAACTGGTGGTGGCAGCAAAGGCCACAGCTCAGACACTGCCCTGTACAGCCAGGTCCAGAAAAGCAGTGCCTCAGGGAGCTGGGACTGTGAGCTGTCTAGAGGAGGGGCTGACAGGACCGGGGTCAAGTCCGAGGGCTCCACATGAGAGGTAGGGCAAGGCTGAGGTTGCTGGTAGGGCTACCATGGGGAGGTGGCACCGGGATCAAAGAAATCTATTAGAACCTGCAGGAACCAGAGGGTTGGAGAATCCTGTGTAAGCCAGTCCAGGGGACCTGGGAGGGATCAGGGGAATCAAGGGAAGGATGATCAATCTCAAGACGTCCTGCAAGTGGGACAGATGGCAGGGGTGAGGGATGGGACCTGGGAGAGACCAGCACCTCCAAGTCAACCTCCCCAAAGGAATGGACAGCTGCCGGACCAGGTCTATGAAAAGGGGTGCTTGGTTTGAGTTGGTGCAGTTTGAGGGGCCTGCATGGAGGCTCTAGGGTGATGCCGGACTGTGCCTGGATCCTCACCCCTGCATTGTTCTTTGCCAGAGATCTAGATTTCAAGAAGTTTATTCTCATTAAAGTCAGCTTGGGTTTAAGAGGTCTATGTGTGTGAATAGTCACAGAAGGGACACGGTGTGCTGGGTGGGTGTGGAGGGGGTCAGGAGAATGTATGGGGGGCCACAGAAGGAGGAAGGGGTCCCAGGGAGGTGAGTTGAGCATTGTGGTGGGTGAGAGCCTCGGTGGTCCAGTCAGGCCCACTTGGGCTTGAGCCTGTCTCTGGGACACTGGGTGAGTTGTATAACATCTGTAACCCTCAGTTTCCCTCAATGCCCCTTTGTAAAATGGGAAAACCCAACAACAGGGTCTACTTCACAGGGTTGTTTGTGTGAAAGGAGTTAAGTTTCTCAAGTACTTAGTGCAGTCTGAAGCACAGATTAAGCATTTTATAAGTGGTAGTTATTCCATGGATGGAGAGGGCCAACAGAAAGGTGGACAGGCATGGGGAGAGAATAGGAAGGCAATAGGTCTTTTTCACACTATCTTTTCCTCCTGCTCTCAGCTATGAGACACCACCTGCCCCAACACACACAAATACACACGTGCGTGCGCATATACACACGCACACAAGCGCATGCATGCACACACACTTTACCTATAGGTACTCAAGCACCAACCATTTTTCTGTTTGAAGGTCGAAGGGAACTGCTGTATGGTGGGTGTAGTGGGAAGAGCATAGGCTTCGGAATGAGGCTTAAATTTCAATGTACTTATTTTTCATGAGCTCTGCAAACCTTGTCCTTGTCTCCTGAGGTCCAGTTTCCCAAAGGTGACCTGACCTCATCTATCTGCTTACAGGGAACTACAAGGAGAAATTCAGGGAATGCTCTTAATAATAGTGGAGATTTACTGGGTATTTAATCTTCATCTGTGTTAATGATATCAAATGATCCAAAAGAAATGAACTCCTGCTTGGAGAAGGAAAAAGTTCAGGTGTGTCTCTTCTAGGCCTGAGTGGCGGGGGCCAGGGCGGTAGCAGAACTGAAGACAGAGGAGGGGAAGGCTCTGTTTCCCAGTCACCTGGAGCTCACAGAGGCTCAGGTGGACAGAAGGCAAGTCTGACCATGGAAAGCCATTCACCGCATGAGCCTTCGTATGGATGTGGTTGAGCAGGGCAGCCGGGCTCTGGCGCTGGGGACTCAGGGCCCCCAGGGATACTCTTCCTCTTTCTCCTCCCCCACTTCCTCCTTGGAAAGCCAGAAGAGGGCTTCTGAGGAAGACTTGCTGGCTGCTGGCATCTGGGGGGCTCTGCCAGGGGTTGGAATCACAGGCAGGGGGGCCACTGTGGCTCGAACTCGGTTTGTCTGTAACTGCCCAGCCTGCAAAGAACGCAAGCCGACCCCTCTGGAGCCCAGGCCACGGTTGCTGACCTCCTGTCCTGTTCCTGGGTTCTCCTACCCTCACTCCCTCCTGTGTTCCATCCCTTGAGCCCTAGCCTCAAGGCCCAGGGCAGTGGAGTCCCCTGGGCTCGCCCCCACAGTGCCCGCTCCCGGCCGAGTGTCCCTCCTCGGTTAGGTTGTGCACCAGCTAACTTGTGGAGGGCTCTTCTCCCATCTCTAGAAGGACTGCAGTTTGGAAAGATCTTTCTTTTATAACTTCGGCTAAGGCAAAGCAGGAGTTTCTAAAGTTCTGTTACTGAGAAACTAGGAAAAGATTAATAGGGACAAAGGGAAATATTATAGAATATGAATTTCATAAAAATAACTCCACTCTCAATTCCTTTTCTCTCTTTAACTCTTATTGCTAAAGCCCTGACTCCAGTTGACTAACCCTGGTCAGCCTCCTTTTCCTCATCTGTACAATGAGCATTAACACTTACCTTGCAGGGACGCTGTGAGGATTAAATGAGAAAGACATATGTGAAAGCACTTGTCACAAAACCTGGCAAATGGCTGGTGTTCAGTAAATGCTAATTTCCTTCCCTTTGGACATTTCTTTTTCCACCTTCCATTTAGCCTCTTTAAACAGAAGTTGTGGTCTCGGTGCTGTCAGTTTGCTTAGTGGGACAATAGTTTGTTAAATGACTAATGAGTTATCATAAGTGCTACAGTTAAGATACCGAAACATTATCATATGTAAATACCCAGTGCCCAGGCAGAGAAGCGTCCCTACTGGGCAGGGGTTGTAACTTCCTTTGTCTAGGGCAAAGTGCTGGTCTTTTTCTTCTTCCACTGTTGGCTTGGTTCTCCCCTCCACGGGGCGGGGGCGGGGGGGCGGCACAGAACCGAGGGCAGTGGGCTACTCCCTTGACTTTGGGGAGTGGGGAGTTGAGGATGGGGTAGGAGGCCTCTCTCTGGGTGTAATGGGGAAGAAGAAGAGTAGGGAGTAGGGAGAGTACCTTTCTCAGGGCCCGGCTCTCCCAGCTTGGGTGGAGCCGGTCCTGAGGCTTGATAAAGGTGTTGCTCAGATGTGAGTACAGGTGGCTCCAAGCCTGCAAGGGGTTGTAGATGGGCTCTAGTTCCAGGCTGTCCAGCACGCTCTGATGAAGAGAGAAGAGGAGGCTTACCCAAGGAACTTGAGGTCACAGAACACAAGATGTCAGGCAGAAAACTTGGAGTGTGAGAGGCTGGAGGAGGTGTGAAGACCCAGCGCTTCACTGAAGACTGAAATAGATGTGGGTCCCATTGGGTGTCCTGGCCCCCAGATCTGAGTGCTTGTGATGATGTACGGTTCTGGCAAGAGTATAACAAGTAGGTGCAACCTTGAGTGGTTAGGGACGTGGAATAGGCTGGCCCCAAAAAGTGTGTCATAGAATTCTGAGAGGGGCTGGAATGCTGTGAGGGTTACAAGGGATCCACTGTGCATGGCTGTGAGGGAGGGGGTGTCCAAGACCTGGGGCTGCTCACAGTATGCTGGTCGAGTACACTGAGTTCTCTGCCTGGCCTGTGAGGTGAGCATAGCCTGAGGACACACAAGCACAGCATTCCTGAGCAGTCAGGTTTTCCGGCCACAATATCCTGTGCCAGGAACCACTGGCCCCGAAGTGAGACATTGAGCGAGCCATGGCCACTTGTGCCCACCTCTCTCCGTATGCCCATGGCCGCCAAGGCAAGAACACAATCCCAGGCTCTGTCCTCTCTGCACGTAAGCCAGTGATCCAGCAGTGATGTGGTTCCAGTTCTCCCTGCCCAGAGCCCCTCCTCCTGCCCTCAGCCAGGGGAGGCTGGCAGAGGAAATCCAGAATCCAGATCCAAGGAAGAGAGGAGGAGGAGGGGGAGGAGCGGGAGAAGGGAGAGAAAATGGCCAGCAGCGCAGTTCCCTCTGTTGGCTGGGAGTCTCATTTTGAAGCCCTTCCTATCCTGGATGCCTACATTGGCTACCTTTTCCTCAACAAACAAAAATAGATGCATACAAACAGGTACCCACATCTGCACACACACAATGCAGAGAAAGACCCGTGGTAACACACCATCACACAGACACACATTACTGACCTTCCACCACCTTTTTGGCACAACCACTTCTCCCTCTGCTTCCCAGTCCTTTCCCCCACAGGCTTGCTGCTCTCCCTCATCCCTTTCTCCAACTCCCAACTCTTCTCTCCCTCTGTCCCATGATATCTGAGCTCCACGTGCCTCCACAATCTTAAGGCTGTCATCAGGTGGGTTCTCAGGCAGCAGGGGGAAGGGGCTGGGCAGCATCAGTTCCCGAGTGGCCACTGCCTTCACCAGCAGAGTGGGGGAGCGTGATGGCACAATCACATAGAAGGTGTTGGCAGGCTGTCTCAGGCTGTGTCCTCCGCTCAGGGGCTCCCCTTTGGCCAACAGCAGCCATTCTCTTTTCTGAAACAAGGACATATATAAATGCTGGTTCACCTTCAGTCTTTGGCATGTTTTAAAGATCAATCCCCATCAAGACTTCCCCAAGTTTCTCTGGACGTGTCAGGGAGGCCCAAACCATTTTACTCTGGCCTGGGAGAGAGGGACTTCCTGCTTGAGTTGCTAGTGCCCCAAGGTACCCCTCTTCCTCTCAGCTTGGAGTTGTACACAAAAGTGTTAACAATGCACAGACAAGAGATGCCCTTTAACCTGAAGTAGGTGTTCACCCCAGAGATGGTGGTAAATGTAGAATTTTGAGAATTATAATTCTTAAAAAAACAAGAGTCTTGAAACAGAGACTTGTGTTGTGAAAATTCAAGTCTTATTTTGAGGGTGAAAAAAAATCTGGTTGTATTGCATAACTGAGATCAGAGTGGGCTGGCTAGGGAATATCCCCGGAACACCCAGAAAGGATTTAAGAAGGTGGTCAAAGTCACCGGCCAAGCGAGAGGAGGAGGAGGGAGCAGGGAGAGAAAAGCTTAGGTATGAGTAGGTGCATGGGGGACAGGGCCCTTGAGATCAACTCAGTCCATCACGGGACAAAAAGAAGGGTCAGAATTCTTATACCTGGCACAAATATAACAGCCTCCCTGTTACAGAAGATGAAAGAAAGCATATTAGTTCTACCCCATTCTTAACTTATACAAAAAGTTGGAAGAAATGATATGAGAGGAAAGGCAGACAGAAGAAAAAAGATGTTAGGGGATAAAGGAACATCAGTGTCTTGTGGAAGACAAATGGAAAGTGACACAGTGAAGAACAAGAAAAGCCTTGCTGTAACATTACTGTTATACCCCAGGGGGAATGTGCTGGGGTGGAGGTGGTGTGGAAGGTTCTGGATACTTAAAAGCAGCAGTGTCATCACTTTGTGCAGCACAGAACTCTGAGGAGGTCTGGTAGGCTGGGCAGGTAGTAGGTACCTTCAGAAGTTTATGCTTTCTTAACACTTTGCTTATATTTGGTAATGTGCTGTCTTCTTGAAAAACGGATCCAAAATGCGATTGGAAGTCTACCTGATCCTTCTCAAATTCATTAAATTGTAACTAGATGATGTAGAAATCATGGTGTGTTTTTGTGTGTGGGGAGATTTGCCCCTGCTCTGAGGACATGGCCTCTTTAAGCCTGGAAGGGATGTTCTCTGGAAGGGATAAGTAGCAAGTGGTGGGGCATTCCATTTCAACTGGCTCAAATAACTTCTGATGTAGATCAGTTTGGATTATTACAATTATTTAATCTTCTACTTTTATGCTGGTTTATGCACTGTTTGTAAGTTTATTAAGAATGTATTGAGTGCCTGTTATGTCCCAAGCACTAGACATGAGTATATAGAAATTCATTAGACATATTCCTTGCCCCTTGAGAGCTTATACTATAGTAAAGGGAAGGTTTGTAAATTAATGTTAGTCCAGTATTTAGGATGACCAATTCTTCTGGTTTGCCCATTTTTAGTACTGAAAGTCTTACATCCCAGGAAACCCCTTGGTCATGGGCAAATGGGGGTGGTTGGTCACCCTTCTAAGACTCCACAGAGAATAGAAAATCTTGCCACTGTGGCAAGTCCCTGGGGGGCTAAACTATGGCAATGGACATTTTCTGGACTTTTTTTTTTTTTAAAGATTTTATTTAGTTATTTGAGAGAGAGAATGAGATAGAGAGAAAGCACGAGAGGGGGGAGTCAGAGGGAGAAGCAGACTCCCTGCTGAGCAGGGAGCCGGTGCGGGACTTGATCCCAGGACTCCAGGATCATGACCCGAGCCGAAGGCAGTCGCTCAACCAACTGAGCCACCCAGGCTCCCTGGACTTTTTTTTTTTAAGCAATGTGACATTTCTTACACCTCGGTGTTATGGAATAAGTTCATGACTGCTATATTGTGGGGTTACTAAGAAATCTGAATGTTGCACACAGAAAAAGTATGATCCCTAGAATTTGTGCCTATGGATTTTGAGACAATAGCTAAGTTTCTATTAGAGAAATAGTATGCAGGATTGAATGAAGCCTCTCAAAAGTAACTCCTGATGTGTGGAATATCAGAGGACTGGCAAGAGATCGAGTTGAAAGGATTTTACAGAATGCTTTAGAACCTCTAGGCTGGTTTACAGAGAGGTCAGCAGAAGGCTCTGGAAGGAAGAGAGGCAAATGCACTTGTTAGAGTTTGATAAATATATTAATCTGTAATTCCCAGGAACATTTGGGGAAAGTGAGAGATAGGGAAGTTGAATTTTAAGGTCCTTATTTTGGACTCTGAATTTCTAACCCTTTCCTATCTGGATAGTGATTAAATGGCACTAGAGATCTGAAGTCCAGGATCCAAGCTTGAACATGTTACCCAGGTCATGGGTTGACTTGTAGGTACAGGCAGTTGTACCTGTGATGGAAATGTTTAGCTGCCAGGGCAGGTATACGAGGCTGCGAAAAGACATGGAGATGTCACAGAACACTAGCTTTTGGGGTCTTCAAATCGAACAATGCTTAATGATGGCAGATGACAAAATCTGTTTTTGCTAATTCTATTTTTTAAGATTTTATTTTTAAGAGGTGCCTGGGTGGCTCAGTTGTTAAGTGTCTGCCTTCGGCCCGGGTCATGATCCCAGGGTCCTGGGATCAAGCCCCGCATCCGGCTCTCTGCTCCGCGGGAAGCCTGCTTCTCCCTCTCCCACTTCCCCTGCTTGTGTTCCCTCTCGTGCTGTCTCTCTATCAAATAAATAAAAAGAAATAAGATGAAATCTTTTAAAAAATATTTTATTTTTAAGTAATCTCTACACCCAACATGGGGCCTGAACTCACAACCCCAAGATCAAGAGTCACATGCTGTACTGACTGAGCCAGCCAGGTGCCCCTTTGCTAATTCTAAAATAAGGAGAATGAGTTAGATGCTGAATTTACCAGAAAGCAGGTAAAAATGTATCTGTATTTGTTGTGTTTGCTACAGAAGGTGCTAGGGAGCTTAGATTTTAGAAGGTGGGGACTGATTATGTTTAGAACAGGTATGGACAGGGGCAGAGTTGAAGGGCATGCCATACTCCAAGCTCATTCTCCCCTACCTCTGCCCTAACTTCTAATTCCTAAGGCTGGGAAAGAAGGCACGGTAACCACTGTTGGTTGACCAGCTACTACCCTCCCTTCCCCTCTCCCTTCTCTCTACACATTTTTCAGTTTTTCAGTGATTGGTCTGGGGTGACATGTGACCTAGATTTAAATGATGAGACATAAGCAGAAGTTGCTGTGTGAGACTTCTGGAAAAACTTTGTAATATGATGGCAGGCTTTTTGCCTCTTGACTGTACTCCTTTCCCCTAGGATAGGGCTTGGTCTTAAGGCACGATGGGCCCAGGAGGAACAGGCATAAGGATGGAGTACATTTGCTATGGGGGCTGCAGTGGAAAAAGGCAAAGATCCTGATCAGTCTCAGAACTGTCTGTCCCCACATTTCTTGTTATATCAGAAAAATAAACTCGTACTTAAGTTAGAGTTGGGTTGGTCTGTTAGTTGCAGCCAAAGGGGTCCTTTACAGATAGCAAAGGAAAGGAAGAGGGTATAGCTAATGGGGAGACAGAAGTAGAAAGGACAAGTTTAATGACACTGATATAGGCCTTGCCAGGATGGATGGGAATTTATTATAGCAGGTAAAATCTTTTAATCTCACCAAACTGGCACTTCCTTGGTCTGCCATCAATATGATGTCCTGGGACCAAATTCAGCAATTAGTTTTTGGGAAGTCAAAAGTTATACATGGATTTGACTGCATGGGAGGTTGGTACCCCTAGCCCCCTACGTTGTTCAAGGATCAACTATATATATCACAACCATGTGGGATTTATCCCAGGAATGCAAGGTTGGTTTAATACCCAAAATTCAAACAATGTAATACACCATGTTTCTAGAATAAAGGACAAAAACTACATACTCATCTCAATGCATGCAGAAAAAGCATTTGATAAAATCCAAAACCCTTTCATGAACAAATGAGAAACAGAGTGGAACTTAATCTGACAAAGAGCTCTACAAAAATCCCACAGCTAACATTATAAGTGGTGATGAAAGACCAGATGCTTTGCCCCTGAAGTCAGGAACAAGACAAAGATGTCTGCTCTTGCCAATTCTATTCAACATTGTACTGGAGGTGTACTGAAGACCAGAGGGCCATTTTCCACATTTTCTGGACTATTAGGGCTCTAGGATTTTAAGTATGAGTCAGGGAGAGGCGCTCATAAAGACTGGGTGTGTCAACATCCTAGTTCTTGGGGATTAATATTTTCTAAACTTGGGTTAGAAAAAAATACAATATGACATTTCTCACATCAGAATGCTAAGGTACACCCTCATACCCTTTACCACTGCTGTGAAGGTCAAGATATATGTGAGAACCAGGTACATGGGTGGGTAAAGGGCAAAAAAATGAGTGGGGGCAGGCTGTGGTGGGGGCAGGAATAGCTTCCTAGTGAAGGTATTTAAGCAGAATCTGGAAAAAATGGGTAGATACTTGTCAGGTAGAGGCAAAAGAAAGGAAGAAGCATGAAAAAAAAGGTACGGAGGTGTGGAACAGTTTGGCATATTTGGGGTACATTTAGCAATTTATTAGTGTGACTGGAATAAAGAATGGAAGGGGCATGGTAAAAGGTGAAGCAAGAGAAACAGACAAGGCTGGGTCACAAGAAGCCCATAGATTCCATGTTAGCCTGCTGTCTGTTCTAGCATCTGTCTGTTTCCCCTGCAGCCCAACACTCTAACTTCATTCTGATTTTTTTTTTTTTAATAGCTCCTGACCTGCTATCACCCCACTCTCAGCTTGGATTCTTGTTCTTGACTCTTTGCCTAATGTAACCAAGGACTTTCCATTTCCCCACCCAACCAGGTCATTGCCTATGTAGTTACTCTCCTGCTGGACACATCCTGGCTTGAATTCTGTCACTCCTGTGACCAATTAGGGCAGACATGGCCTGTAAAGCTCTGGAATGTGTCTCAAG